CACACTACTGGACGTACGTATTGTCTAGGCTAGTTGCTCGATCGTCGGGACGACTTTTCGATCAGTTGCTCGCCAAAAATTACTGGTCTTGAATATTAATGAGTTGGTTAGAAAATGCTACCAAGCTACTGAAAAAAGTGATCAGCCTCGTTTTCACCTGATTTTCCCGTCTCATCACATCATGTTTTGTTTCTCTAATTATCGTTACATCTCAACAATCTGAATTTTTTAAGTATTTTTCCCGAACTCAGGAAAGGTTAAATAAGCAATATATGGCCACTTGTCTCATCCCCGCACCCCCCCTTTAAAATCGGACGATTTCCCCCCATTTTAGCACAAACTTAACTTGAATTGAATAAAAATTGAAAAAGTATAATTTCTTTGATTTATTTTTTATTTTTTTGTCAATATATATAACTATTTCATCCATGTAGCTTTCATATTTTTGGCACAAAAAAGAGATAGCCAGTATCCTAATTTCCTGTGCATTTGTTCTATAATCTTTTGCCTACCAGATGCTGCCAATGTAAACACCGAAAGGGGTCTATTGTTACTGATCAATATCCTATAGACTTCTACATAACAAAGAATGGAATCTGACTATTAAATTAAAAGTCTCTTTATAAGGCCTCATAAGAGAGAAAGTATTTAGTTATTGGTAACAGAATTTATGATATGTTACAATTGTACTAACTGTATTTATAGACATGAGCAAACTCGGAGTAACACAGCAAACACTCAGTGAGAATTATGACACAGGTCAACAGCATATGGTGTCAAGGACACCAGAGGAAATTTTCATCCTCATAAACGAGTCCAGCAAACATCAACAGAGGAAATACCTTCATGAAGATGCTGTTCTTGAATCCCCATCCCAGAGTGATACCACCCAGATGCCAACCAGTCATCAAGAAATGATGGAAGCACTAGAAAAAGAAATATTGTCACCATTCCAGTTCCCGTAAGAAAATATCTTGTAAATAATTAATAATAAAATTATCAATAAATTAATTTAATGAAGAATACGTAAAAATATAATAATTCGATGTTTTGAACTCCCAACCCTGAGGCTTAAAGCCTGCATGAAAAAGGCTGCAGCAAAGCTCCTTACTACACGGAACATGTGCTAATGTTAGAAGGATGCAGCTTCACAAAATACAAAGTAGCATAGGATGCTTGATAAATTTTCTCAAGCATATTTTGTCTAATTGAATCAAGCATTACTTTCAAGTGTGTCTGCAGGACCTTAGTCATAATTGCCATTGGGAGAGTGCAGGGGTATGCAAAAACGAACCATCTGGGCTGGGGAGGATGCAAGTGGGTGCAGACAGCGATTTCACCTCCCTAGATTGTATTAAGAAAAAAATTGTTGTATTGTAATTGTATTGTTGATATGATTTACCAGTAAGATTTTTAATGTATGAGAGTGCAATTTCCCTGCACCTAGAGGTCTTTATTCTCAAAATGTTTCCACCCCCAACTATGGTGTGGCTGAGGTGATATAAACTCTCATGCACCCCCTACCGCCAAATCCTGCTTCCACCCCAACTGGGGCTAGGGGCAGAGCCGGTTGGATTGCAGTTCTTCAATTTTCTATTACTATTGCAAATGTATTGTCCAAAAACCAGCCTAATTTTAAACTGGTGGTTAAAATCCTTTTCTTATTTAAGGAAGCTATGTACTTTCAAATTTTCAATTGATCGTACTGCACATAGTCTTTCTTTTAGATAAAATGTTCTTTGTTTTTTTAAAGGGTATTGATGTCACCACAAAGAATGGAAAAACTGAGCCAAGTGATGTGGACCAGAGAGAAGTTTTTTAAAGACATCGCATCACTGATTATAAAAGGTAACCATTTGTCTGCTGCCTGTCACATATTTCTACAGTACAATTTAAAGACAGTGTTGTAACTTTGATAAGAATTTCACCTACAGTCGCACAAGACACTGTGTTAAAAAGCATCTGATATTCTTCATAACGATAAACATAGCCAAGAGAAAGATAAAAAACATACAACTTGCTAGTAGTTTCTGGAGTTTTGAGAGTTGTTGTCATGCATCAATTCTGACTAATGGTCTGGCCAGCCATCTGCATGTTTGAAAGAGTTTATATATGGTTAATTTATTAACAGTGTAACAGACGGTGGCGTTTCCAAGAGTCTTGAAGTGGGGGTGGGCTGCTAGGTCACAAATATGGTAATTTTTTTTGCTTCAGATATTTATGTATATACATTGCCCTTTATTTCGCCTAATTCATATGAGCCTTAATTGAGGAACTGATGAGACACCAATTAAAACCAGACACTGGCTGGGTTTGAACTAGGCTCTTTAACACAAGAAGCAGAACATACCCTTTACTTTATACCCAAATACTTTAAATATCATAATTTCAGTACCTGTCACCGACCAACTAGTGCTTACAAACTTAATTGACGAAGCTAAGTTATTACTGAATGCAAGAAACGAGCAGTGCAGTGGGGACTTGGAGCTGAGTTTAACATGGGATCCCATTGCTTTGTCAAGCCTTGAAGTTGTGGATAGGAATTTTTCGCCAGAATCATTTGGCAGTAAACCAGACACCGATATCAAACCACTGTCGGTTGTTGAAGAATTCTTTCCTTTGGAATACACTGAAGGTTAGTTGGCAAATTAAACAGAATTGATCCAGGATTTACAGTATAATCCCAGGGGCAGGGAGGGGATATATGTGCATGGCTGCTGTTTTATAATTATATTGTAGTAATGAAATCGGAAATTATTTGTCAAAATGGAGCAGGGAGAGACAAATACGCACGACTGATTGTTCTATTTATCTGTTGTAATGAAATTGGAATTATTGGTCATGATAAGGTGGGGAGAGTATAGTGCATTCCTGTGTTTGTAAATTTATTGTTGTATTCATCAAAATAGGTGAGGGGTGATTATGTTCCCATCCTCATCAAGTCCTCTTGCTAATACAATTGAGGAAAATGCTTTTATTAAATTTTCTCTTTCATTTAGTAAATACTGTATAAGTTGTGAAGTTGAATAGCTTAGTGGTTAAGATGCTTGCCTTCCAATTCCAGGGTCATGGGTTCAATTCCTGTCAGTGTTGCAGGATTTTTTCTCACGACCAAACAACTCCACTCCCTAAACCTCATATTGACATTTAGTTTGTGTAAAGCATCATGTGTGTATGTTTGTCATGTGTAAGGGATTGTCACCTACACAGTAGGACAGTGATATTCGTTATTGACAATCCTTGGTGCATGTGTTGTGTAATTTTTAATGTGATTTTAAGATTGGTCAATTAAAATGAGATAAATCAAGCATTTTAATTTGAATCATTTTAATCTTTGTTTTAATAGATTTTACCTCACCCAAGATTACATACAACGACGAGCATTTAGAGCGGAATCCAAAATGTACTACAAAAAGAACAGATCTTAAGGACCACATGCTAATTGAAGACCAAATGGATCATCTTATGATGCCAATATCAGGAATCATTAAGAATGATAATCTTTCAAGTGCTGATTCAATCGTAAATAAAAAGGAAGAAAGTGAAGAAGAAATGCAAACCAATGAGCTGTCAAAACAATGGAATGAAAATGAAAAACTAGAAGTTGATGGTGAATCGCTTGAAATGAAGAAAAACTGGAATGAGAAAGCATATGATATGGAAAAACAAAAAAATAATGAAAATGAAATGCTAGAACTTACAAACATGGAAAAACAACAGAATGAAAAGGAACTTGTTATGGAAAATCAATGGAATGAACACAAAAAGCTAGGATGTAATATGGAAAAAGAATGGAATGAAAATTCACTTGAAGTGGAAAAACAACAAAACGAAAAAGAAAAACTTGCACTTGTAAAATCAGATAAACAAATCAAAAGACAAAAAATATTGCATGAAGAAATAATCGAAAAATCCGTCTTGCCCTTTACTGGCAATCCAGTTGAAGATTTTTACATGATAAGAAAAGGTAGAAAAATTGGTACAGCAAATGTGAAGAAAAGTGGAAAAATGTTTGAAATTGTAGAGACAAAGATTGAGGCAAAAAGCAGGGAAATGTTGGAAAATATGGAGATGAGATCATGTACAGTACCAGAAGAAGTGCATAGAAATACAGAGGACAAAGGTCAGGAGAATACATGTAAGATACCTAATCTTGATAATGATGATAATAACAACTCACAAAACACGATGGTGTGCATTTGGATACTTGGAGTATGTATTATACTACCTAAAAAACATACATCTTTAAAATATTTATGCTGTTGTAAAGAATTTGTTGCCTCCCCTCCCGTGCCTCATTTTAGGCTAAGCAATATTCATTCAATCAATCCATTAATTAATTAATTAATTCATCAATCTATCCACCAATTGAAAGTTAGTACTTCTATAAACACACCTCTATTTGACGACACTGAGTTAAATTTTAAGTTTAAATATTCAGGAAACCAAAACTATTCTTATACCTGTATTTAGTATGATTATTCATTTACTCATTTCATTTAATTTGTTTTCCATACTGATACATTGTAATAAGTCAGTTCTATGGTCTTTCTTTTTCAGGTTCATGCACTCCAAAAAAAACACGCAAGGATGAAAATCCTACTAAGGAAAGACAAAAGAAGACGAAAATCAAAATCATAGAAATCAGTCTTCCAGGTGAGAATGTTGTGTTATGTTGTACACTGTACTAAATAAAAATCAATTATATTATATGTATTTTAAAAAATTTTAATTGGTCTTGCAGAGTCCTACCAAGAAATAATGAATATGATTCAGATGTATGCACATCCTATAATAATGTCCTTGAAGGAAGGAGGCCACCTTGATGAAGGTGTGACATTCTACACTCTAAAACCAATCACTACACGTTTCATGCTTAAACAGAAACATCTACTACAGCATAAAAATAAACATGGTAAGAATCTTGATAAAAATTTAAATCCTTGCCGAACCATTGATGCAGCTACACTGAAGCAATGTAGATAACGTGCCTTGATTAAGGACACAAGTAAAAATCACAGTGAAGGATTGAAATCCCAACCTCAAGGTTTAGAAACCAAACCATTTCCACTGTGCAAAACCGCTACACCACCTTAAATTTTATTATGATTATTATATATGTGTCATAATATCTGACTTATGAGTTTATACTTAGTTATGTTTTTGTTAGCTTATTATTTAAAATATATATATACAGTATGTAAGGAATGCTAAAATGTAGAAGCGGTTTGGCACAGAGGTACGGTTTGGTTTCCAACCTCGAGGTCGGGGTTTCAATCCCTCCCTGCGCCTTTATCTTACAGTATGTCATTAAACAAGCCACTTTATCTGCATTGCTTTTCTCCACCCAGGAGTATAAATGGGTACCTGGTGGGGTTACCTGCTCCTGCGCTGATTACGGTCAGCAAGACTTAGCATGTTGACCCAATGACCAGGGAAAAGAATGCGTTTTATAACCGCAAGGAAGAGACGCAAATACCCGTACCAGTACCAATTCACTTCCATTAAGCTCTCTTAACTATATTTACCCCTCTCTCTCTTGCAGAGTACAAGTTAACTGTTCTACTCCATGCTTTGGTTTCTTCTGCTGGCCTGTTATATCACTGTGATCTTGCTACAGCATGCCTTCACCTCAGAGCTCTTAAAGAGAAATACAAACACATCATTCATGGTAAGTCTGCAAAAATGGCAGTTAAGCAGTAAGGATGAGTGGTGGTGGTTGTGGTAATGACTGGTGATGGTCATGGTTTGGTAGCAGTGGTGGTTGTCATATTCCATGCCTATTTTTTTTATACGTAAAAGTCTTTCATAAGTCAGTATTTGCTGGCATTTGTACAAGGGTGAGACATTAATAAACAATACTTTACTTAAATATTTCATTACTGTTGCATGTAAATTGTAAGTAACTTTTTCTAGGGTCAACATTTAAAATGTGTATTATATTTATTGCCTTGTGTTTTTTGTAATACAGATGAGCTGTGCCATCTGACACAGAGCATGATTATTACATTGCACAGACTTGATAAGGAGCATGTCCAGTCTCCCAAGATCACAGAGCTGGTGGTACAGCTCCAGAACTGGTACACTCGCAAGATAACTAAGGAAGGAAGTGATCTGGAGCCAAAGGTTTGGGCAAAAAATTATGTAAAGCACACACTGGAGCGTGTGGCGCAGCGTGTAAGGTGTTGGACTTCGGATTGTGAGATCAGCAGTTCGAGACTAATGCTCGTCGCATTGCTTGTGTCCTTGGGCAAGGCACTTAATTACGTTTGCCACTCTCCACCCAGGAGTATAAATGGGTACCTGGTAGGATGGTATGGCATTGAATGTATGGGTTGTACGCATTCAAGCAGCAATGACCAGGGATACTCCTCAGGGAGCAGAGAAACTTGCACAATGTGCGGATCTGCCAATTTAGTATCTAGTGACCAGGAAAATAATGATGCCAACGCCTTGTAAAATCTGCGGATTGTGAAAGGCGGTATATAAATTGTAGTTCTATAAAAAAAAAAAACACTACAATGACTGACAAGTTGGTTGACACATCAGTCAATGCAATTGATCACGCTCTGTTTGAGCACATACCAAGATGATACTTCCTGATGTACTGTATAATGTATAATTACCTTTATCAGTAGCATAACACCTGATCTCTCACTAAAGTCAGAGACCCTAGATCTTGAGAGACCCAGGATATTAATCTGCACTTTTTTGCCATGACCATGGGACCTAAATTGGCCACACAGGGACCTAAGCAGCAGAATGTGTAAAAAACATCACTTGTCGTGCCATTAAAACAAAAAATTCAGAAGTGGACAGGAAGGGGAACTTTGTGCCCCCCCCCTCCATAAGTCCTCAGGGTAGTAAGGCCCAAACAAAGAAGCCTTAGCAAGAGGCCTCAAGCCTTTTTGGTATGCCACTGGTCAGCATTTGTCATCATCATCATTACAATATTTGTGATCATCACCTAGCTAAGCACTAGAGGGTACAATGAGCTGTTGTCTAAAACATACTTTATTCAATAGATACTGGTTATTGTGTCATATGATGCCCCCAGCTTGGTCAACTCTATCTGCAGAGCTATTGGTTCTTTAACATGCAAGTACCATGTCTATTTCATTAGTTATATGTATCAACCATGATATATTATACAAGTTCAACAACTTTATGTAGGCCTGTATTCAGAAGATCTATCATTAGAAGTATAGGCTGACAACAATATATTTAAATTATAATAAAATGTGTCTATAATGAATTTCCATCTGCCAGACTATGAAAAGATAGGTATGGTGCCTATCATATGAAAAAAAAAAAATATGAAAACAAATGGTAATCTAAAACAAAAATTAATTGAAAAAAAAAATGAAATTTCAGGTTTTGTATGCAAAGACATGCAACAAGCTAGTAGCAGCTATAGTAATATATCATCTCAACTAGACCACTGCAACTGCCTGGTATTAAAGGAGATGCAGATCAGCGACGACTTCCCCTGGGCTCATTTCTCCCTCATTGTTGAATACGAGGACCAACACCAATCGCCTTGGAAACAGATGTGTCTGAGACAGAATATAAGATATATTGCTCTTAAGATTAGGTGGCCATCTGATAATTTGTCTGAACGTCACAGTAAGAATTTGTGTTCTTATAATTTATACAGCACAATGAAATTTAGAATGACATATTTTTTGACGCCATTCATATGTTTATACATTTCGAATAATATTTAGTTAAATGAAAATTCTACGTTTTTTCTTTGGCTTGACAGTCCACCCTTGGAAAACTTGATAAATTAATTGATGGGCAGGGTACATAAAATGTAAACATTAGTAATTGTTATTATAGATGCACAACCCACAAAACCACTGGAGGAGGCAAAGGATGTGGTACACACAATCATAGGCTCAAGTACTGTTACTTCAAACCATGAGCTTCTACACCTTCTAGAAGCAAGGTTAGTGCTAGTACATCTAGGAAGGCTTGTGAGCTACGCTTACTGTCAGACCTGGTTGGGAAGCAACTGTATAGAATCGGGCCTGGCTTTGAAGGTAGACATAGGCCCTAGTTGGAAAATTATAGTCAACATGCTAATGAGAAAAGAAAAACATGGTTGACAAAATAATAGCATCATTACATCGGACCCATGCCCCCATGTTTGGAGAAGCCATTTCAGGGAGATAATTATTAATATTAGTACAAAATGCAAATATATTTTGGTGAGAGGATTTGCTTGCTCACCGAAATGCTGGGCATTACAATTTTCGCGAGACTCCTACTGACCAGTAGAAATCGTAATAACTTGAATTTAATCCATACAATAATAGCTAGCTCGGCAATAACAGTATGGGGAAAAATCATTATCAATAAATGATGCCCAGTGGGCTTAATCTCGAGATGAAGCCCATCTCGAATTAAAGGGGCCCCCTCTTTAGTTTGCAAAATTAGCCTCGAAAAGAAGCCCATCTCGAAAAGAAGCCAGTGGGCTTCTTTTGGAGATAGCTTAGGCTTCTTTTCGAGATTGTACAGTACAAAAACAAAATAAATTAAATACAAGCTTGGTTTATACAGTAGTTTAGGTGATTTAATGCCAGGTAAATACACTACATGATACAGATTGATGTTACAGTGGCCTTATTTATTGTTTTATAGTACAAATCCACAAAATTTACAGCATTCCTTTTGAAAAGAAGCCTCCCTCTTTACTTTACAAAAGTAGCCTCGAAAAGAAGCCCATCTCGTAAACAAGCCCATCCAAAGGCTTCAATTTAAGGTTTTACGGTAAGTTACAATGTTGTCAAATAATAAGTCAAGCATGATTTTAATCTTTTCATCTCTTGCATATAAACTTTTCAAGATTTAACATTCAAGTTCTGGAACGAGATTACCTCAAACAATCTTCCTCCATCTGCCAGCCATTCCCAGACATCGTCATCAATGAAACAACCTGTATTGTTCTGCTTCCAGTAAAGCAGTTGACCGAATCTAATGCTGCTGAGTCTGTTATCAACAGGATAGCTGGACTAAGCCTCCAGTGTTGCCATTGTACTGTTCTTGTATGCAACAATGATGCATCAACAAGGTGAAGCTCAAAACATCTTCTCAATCAGTTTGCACCTAAATGTTTTAAACATTTAAAAAAATATACATTTCATAAATTATCAATGGCAGATCCAGCAATTTAAAAATATAGGGGGGAGGGGCAGGGAGGAACTTTCACAGATAGTTGAGGCTGAGGTAAGAAAATGTATGATTATGAGACCTCTAGATGGCTGGAAATGGCACTCTCAGGCTTAAATTTGAATATAATTTTCTTTTTTTCTTCATTATTTAAATAGTTAAATAGTTATTGAAAGTAGTTTAAATAGTTATTGAAAGCTTTAGGGGCCCAGGCTGGCTGCTCCCCCACCCATCTTCCTTGAATCTGCCACTGATTATGGATGTATAGCTTTGGTTGTAAACACTTAAAATGTCCATGCATTTCTTCTGTTTGACTAGCTACACTTATTCAGGCCACACTGTTAATAACCTAGCTCGTCTCCATGCAGTAACCTCCCAGTATTCACCGTCAGCAATGGATTATGAAGTCAAGGTAAATACTTTCAATGTTTAATAGAATTCACATATCCATAGTACTTACTGTAGCATAAACTTCTCTATCTTATCGTTTTCTCCTACCATTTATTTAATTGTTAAAGACATTTTAAAATTGATTTGATCATTGGGTTAATGCTGAGCTAAGCGGCTGTCTGAGAGGTATTGTTCCTGCTTCTTGTGCTGAAGGAGCCCAGGTCAAACCTGGCCAGCGTCAGGTTTTAATTGGAATCTGATTGCTTGGCTCCTTGAGCAACCTTCATATTGAGTGTTAGACAGGTTTAGGTAGCTAAGGTGGGTAGCGCTGTACTACAGCTGTTGCAGGTCCCCAGCCCAAATTTTTGATTTCCAATTAGAATGTGGACAACTGAAGAATTATTTTAAAAAAAAGAAAACAAATAACAATATTTCATTTAAGTGACTTATGAAGTAAAAGAATCAGGAACCATAGAAAAATGTTTATGACTGTGAATGGTCTCTAATCAAGATAAAAAAAAAAATGTTAACAATTACCCCTTTTCATTGACAGGTATTATATTGTTACGGTAATGAACAAACAGCCAAGATAGTGAGGTCAATATCAGATGCTTCGATGGAAAGCAGTTCAATATGGAACACGTCAGAGAATTGGTTATCTGAGACGATGAGCAAGGTGCATTCAAAGTTTATAACACAGACTTTGATTATGTTGAACTGTATATCTATGTGTATACCAGTGGTGGCACAAGGATTTTGCCCAATGGCAGAAGGGGAACTGATGTCCTCCACAGGGAGTTTAATGTCCTGATGAGAGCATCTAAGGGGCGAATCTAAGTTTAGAAATTTAAAAGGCTTATTTTGATCAATTTGCATTCTCATAAACTCTCCCAGATGGGTGTCCTGGGGCCCCCAGATGGAGGTCCTGCTCTCCAGTCTCCCACTGTCACCATCCCTAGCATGTACAATATTGTAATTATAAATTACAGTACATAAAGTACCGTACCATATTCTGCACATGATCTATAAAACCATACAGTGATTGTTGAGGTACTAAAATTCATAAATGCGATTTTCATAGTGAAAAGTCTGTAAATCAGAACTGAATCCTTTCATTGCAAACTGAAAAAATATTTCAATCTCTACCTCCTTGGAAATTATCAGTTAATTCAATTTACAAAAAAATTAAGCACTGTAATTCACTATTTTCAAATCAAAATTAAAATTGAACTTGATCACAATCAAATTAAAATTGAAAAACCCATTTGAAATACAAGAGAAACACCAAAATCATTAAGAAAATAGAAAATTGAAGTTTAAAGAAAATAAGTACATCAAAAATTTGTATTTAATTATTACATTTACAAAAATTTCCATTTTATTTTATCTTTTCAGTGTTTCACCATAGTATAAATTATTTACCATTAAATTCCATAATGGTTAAAATAAATCAGCTTTCATGCACATTCTTCAAACTTTTGGATAGTTTCCAAATTATTTTGACTTATGACAGCAACATAAGCAGGGGTGTATCCAGAGATGTCCGAATGGGGGGGCCCAAAAGGGGGAAATATTGAGATAACACTACCCTAGGGGATGCCTGAAAATTTTCTAGATGCCCGAAAATAACCTCTGAGGTGTTTTGGGCGATCAATTTTTTTTTTCTTTTTCTTTCTTTCTTTTTTTATAATTTTTTTTTGACTTTCCAAAAAGTGGACCAGAGCCAACCTGCCCCCCCCCACCTCCCAAATTCTAACTATTACCTTTCATTTTCGTTCTATTTTTTTATCATTTGCAGCAGGAAAAATTTCTTCTTTCATTACCTTGTTTCAACTCCATCAGTGCTCAGAAAATTCTGTTCTCCCATTGTCTTAAGAGCATCTTCAAGATGACATTACCATCCATGATTGAAGTCTTTCATTGGTTACCAACGAAAGTCCTTGAGGTGATAAACAATTGCTTTATATTTCTGTTCTCATTTTCTTAGCTTTTCAGATCTAGAAAAAAAATGCTGGAAAGGTAAATACACTTAATATTACTTTATTCAATGAAAACGAAAATCTCAAGTACACTCTCAGAGGTGTGTACCCAGTAGTTATGAGTATGGCCATGGGGGTCTGATATGATGGAAGATATGCGAAAGTGAGGAGTGGGGGTGGGCTACAGGGAGAAATGTGCTAGCTGGGTTCTACAGTATATTTCACTTCATATTTTCCCGGGTTTCTCCTCAGTGTGGGAGAGAGCAGCCTGGGGAGAAAACCTTTCTTCAGGCTCCTTCATAGATACACCACATAAGTAGAACTTTGCGTGAACTGCTTGTAATATGCACAACATACTATTGGAAGTTACTGTATATAAATCAGGCTGACAGTAATTCTACCACTTTCATTTCTTCACAGGTGCTACATTCAATTTTGCATTGCGATGAAGATAAGAAACCGAACTTAGAACTCTCAATAAAACAGACCATTCCATTTACTGACACAACTTTTACTGAAGAAACAGTAACAGATAGAAGAGGAGGCATTACACCAACTCATGCCAGCAAATTTTCTACTGTCAACACAGAGGTAAAAATGGAGCCTCACCACACATCTTATGAATATTCAACTTCAAAAAACCAGTTCAATGCCAGATATGGCATGTTTGCATCACCAGGTAATCAAAGCACAACTAAAAAGGAATTCACAAATAATATTTTAGATTCTAACATTTTTCCACACAAGCAACCTAGTAAAAAGCACCATCTTGACTCGGAGTCAATTCAAGACCGGTACTATTCAATCCCAACAGCAAGAGATCATTGGAACTTTCCATCTAGGATGATGATGAATCCAACCAATGATCTACAAACATTCAACGATCCAGTCTTCGATACCTGCAATGTTGGCAGTGTAACATATGAACAGGTCAACTATCATGGGTCTTGGAACAATCTTGTTAACTGCGGCCCGAATTCCAAATCATTTCACCAACCAAAATTCAATGACCTGTATGAAGATGAATTTGGAATAGGCAGTCAGTACTCAAATAAGTATTTGAAGTTAAATGATGGCGAGAAAGTGGCGTGTCACCAACATTATGATAACAGCATGGTCACTGAGAATGATAGGTCGGACCAGAAATGCATGATGTACAACCTACCTTATGGAAGCCATGAAAAATGGAAGCTGGAAACCAGTACGATGAACATATTGAGTAGTCAATCTGGCCAGAGGCAACATCTTAAGCAGGAAGATGGCAAATGGAGTAATTTGATTGGAGAGCAGTTGGATACAGATTTTGAGTGGCCTTTGAAAGCGGAGAGATACGCCAATACAGGGTTGGACTGGCTAGGGCAGGATTTACCACTTACATCTAGAGGAGGTAAGGAGAACTGAGGCTTAAACCCCACCAGTTAATTCAAAAATACTACAAAGTATTTTTATCAGTATCTATAATGTTATATTAACATATCAGCATACATCTGAACCTACATTAGGACCTGTCCAGACTACCAAATGATTTGACAAAAACATAACATGCTTAAATATGGTCATGTTGGCATCACATCATGACCATATATAGGCGTATCATGACTATACAGTATATTAAAATTTACAATATATATGTATATCAGATCCCCAGACAGGAGCATGGGCATCTCCCACAAATGCTACCAGAAGCCAATCCTGGATTTTATAAATGATTTATTAGTAGTAGTAGTAGGATTGATAGCATGTTATTTACAGTATTCTATTCATATATATTTGAGGTGGGTAGCCCCAGTATGGCTGATATAGGCCTGCAATCGCTTTACTCTTTACTCATCCCAAACAAAATGTGGTAAAGCTACAGTACTGTACATTCATAAGCTGACCTACAATGTGCTGTGTGGTCAATCAGGATACACTCTGTGACAACATCAGCAATGTGCAGTAACCGTGGTTACACACGAATATGTAACCAGAGTTGCACTGTTTACATTTGGATTTCCTGCAATTGGAAAAACAGCTTGATTACTGTATACTTCCTATGCAACTTCTCTTTAAAACTAAACACATGGCTTGGGTAATCAGAATGTTACCTAGGTGTTGTCAGGGGTCCCAATTTTTAAGAAATCCTGTCTGTGAGATGTATGTAATTAGATTTATATAGCGCATAACACCGGAATATCTATGCACTGGTTAAATGAGCTTCCATAACATATTTAATTTTATTTTGTCTGTCCTGATTTCCAGGAGACTCCTGTAAATCCTGGAGACTTGGGACACCTGAGCTGTCGTCCAATACGAATATGGTTTTAGTTATCATTATGTTTATATTTCACTATTCAATCTGCATATTTCAAATTAAATCTGTGCATGTTAAACCACAATGTTTAATTCCTATATAAATATACAGTATATTCCTAATCCGGGGTGTTGCCAGTGGGTTAAACCAGCCCAGCAATTTGAGAACACTTGGCAAGTCGTCAGGAAAAAATATTTAGAAGCATATTTTTGGCATGACAGCAGGGCTGGGAGAGTGTATCTAGAAGTGACATTATGTGCTCCCTGATGATAACGTGGCCCAGGGGCATAGCACCCCTGGAAACTGACAATTTAGGGGTTTCAAAGGCTTATTTAAACAACTTTGAGTACTACAGTATGTAAACAATAAATAATTTGTTCACCTCCCCGATGAAGTTTGTTTTTCTCCTCGACAGGGCCCCCACTGGCACCACCCCTGCATGTGTGTTAATACAGAGCTAGTAACTTCTGACACATCGGACTCAGTATTTCAATCTAAAATAGCATTTATTGGGGTCCTTCAATTTCATTATAAAAAAAAAACAATTTGATGATCACAAAATACAAAGCTTTTCAACAATAAAGCTAGTACAAAAAAAGCAACTTTTAAAAAATGGTGAATACATATTGCAATATTCAATCTATTGTCTACAATTTGGGAATGGGCATACCTTATCTTACAGGCCACTGTTGAGGTGCATTGAATAATTATACATTTTTCATGAGCTTGCATGCACCTAAAATACATTGTAATGCACATAGAGACATACACATCCCCATATTTAGAGTAGCATAAGTATTCATAAAATATTTGAACATTCAAACATCAAAGACAATTGGACAGGAACCATATAACTCCATAATCATGTTTTTGTATAAGTTAATTGTGCGTTTTAATGACAATTCAATTAATATTTCACGTTTATCTACATTACATCTCAACTCAAAAAATCATTTCTAGGAAATCTCATTTGAAAACAACTTCATTAACCAACAGTCGTAACTTTAGTACCTTCCTAGAGCATAGATTTACGTAAAATTTCACATGAATAGGAATTGCCATTGTATGGCACAATAATACTAATGTATATATACGAACTCTAAAATTCCATCATGAAATTGGTATGTAAGCAATGTCCTGCTTAACACTGCTTATAAGTTATATTATGTTCTTATTCTGAAGTATTAATAAAAAACCTACCTGTAAAAACCTATATTCCCTACTACTAATCCCCTTGCTTAACCCTGCGTCATTTTCTACTGAATAATTTTTAATTATTTACTGCATTAAAAAAAATTGTGTTAGCTTTACCGAAACATTGTTTCATATCTCTAGCTAATAAACAATACAGTAGTAGTCTACTTATTTTCATGTGTTGCTTATGATACTCCATTGACAATATCTTATACAATATCAATGTAATTTATACAATGTAAATGTATTGAATTTTACCATTTGACCATCCAAAAACCATTTGAATCTAATTATATTTTTTTTCCTAAACCATTTTTCAGCCGTGTACAATGTTCCAGAGTGCTAAAATGTTTGTTCATCAACTTACAGCTACATAAAACATTGGTTAATTGTTGTGCTAATGGTTAAATTTAATTAATAGAAATATTTATTTTAACTACAGTAGTTGCTTTTGTAATTATTACTGCATTTAGGCTCTGCCAATTTAACAATATTTGTTTTATTACATTGTGTAACTAACAAGTATTGGAAAAAATACATCAAGATGGCAGACTAAGAAATTAATCCTTGTAATGTTATTGTGTGTATTTCATTTATCACCTGCCTTGGTTAAGTGTTGTTAATATAGTGCTTAATATACAACAACTACATTTTGTTAGCAGTTATTATTTTAAAGCTGCTGGCATGCAATTATCATCTACAATTCTAAATTTAACTACAAAACAGCTTCAATGTAAATACTTTAAGTACAAGGTTAGTTTATGTTACAATAAAGTGCAAATCTCCATAATATTTTTACATCTTGCACATGTTAGTAGGTCCAATGATACATGTAATAAAATATAAGGGAATATTCATGCATGAGGTGTAAAAGGTTGCTGATGAATTATTACTATTACACATTAAAATAAAGGATTCTTAATGAATAAAGAAAAAAAATTTAAATATGAGGTCTTGCATTTCTGATTTTTGTATCACTTATCCTCATTTTCAGACTTTTAGATTTGTATTTTATTTTATCAGCAAGGTTTTAATGAAGTAACTATGAGTTTTTTTTTAAATTACTCGAATGGGCTATTCCCCTATTATTCTCTCCAAAATGTAAACATTTATTACTATTGATTTCATGTGTTAATTCTTTGCTTTATTTTATTTACATCTCCAAGAGATACTCAGGAATAGAAATTACAGGCTTATTGACTGTGGCAACCATATTTTATCCTATAGTTAATGAGATTATAATCATAGGTTTGAATACAAAACTTTATCAAATGAAATATTAACCAAATTGATAAGCAACATCATATGCCTCCAAATTATTTTTACCGATTTAACATAAAATAACGCCTTAATACAAGTCAGAACAGTTTCACCAACACACAATCATAGAATAACCATACATAAACCTTGTTAAATTAAAGTTACCTGTTGAGATAAATAACTTGTGTGTAAAACTGAATGATCAACCTTGGCCTTATACAACATACAATCTTTGTCTCTGAGGATTCCAGGCTGTCTTTTTAACGTCCATTCTCATATCCTGGGAACAATTCCCGTAGGATGGATGCCAAGACCTTGCTCTGGGCCATGCTGTAGCCTTTTCCCAGGTCATAACGACAGGCAGGGCAGTTGTAGACTTGAGCACGGAATGATCGTTGTAAGCATGCCTGAAATTAAAAAAATACATAATATTTGTGAAATTTATTTTATTTTATTATTGTCAAATACAACTATAATCACTACCACTAAATATTGTTTGTGTGAGCAAGTTACTAAAAATTAAGTAAGTTTGTTCCTTATCCAATCAATCCCGCTGTGTATTTTCCCAAGAATGCTCAACAATCAAGTTATAGCACACAACAAACATTTCCAGGTGTTTTAAACTGGACATTGTAATGTCTGTTTTTTTTTTAAATGCCAAACTTACAACTTTTTCATTCTACGACCTATGCCATTGGTGGAATCGAATATAACATGGTCATTGTGCTGGAGGTGTAGCTTGGTTGCTCAATGCCTTGTGTTCAAATCAATTGCGAAAAACATCACTACTCAGCTCATAAATGACATTTAGATTATAAAAATATTTAAAAGAGGGTCCTGAACACCAGTCAACCTCATGAATATCTATTGCTTCATGATTAAGAGTGGGATCCTAATGGTGATCAGGGAGTGGCCCGAGAAACAAGACAAATTGTAACACAAAATATATTAAAGTACTTTAAAGCCTGTAATCTGTGCGCACCCAATTTTTACAATAAAACGATCGCGAATGAACATTTTGAAATTCTGAATGATAGTTAATTTTTCAAAATCAAAGCTATAGCTATATTGGCCAGCTAGCCAATTTACATCAAACGTTACTTCACACAGCCAGATGGAGTGCTAGGCCTACTAGAGTGGTGGTGGTGCTATCTAGGCCTAGGCCTACCTTCAATGGAATAAAAATCACACCATTGTGTTTCTTCTATAATTATGGATATTTCTCATTTCTATTACAACTCTTGGTAAACAATTTGGCTTACATTTGCTGCAAGATTTTTAACATTTCGATTTGAAAAAAAAAAACTATTCAAGCTTGCTCTAGAGTAGTTGCAGTAGGGCCTGCCTATGGCTGCTAGCCAAAAATTCTGAAGGGTAGGAAATTCAATAAAAAATCTGGAGAAACAAACCAAAATCAGGAGCAATTGTAGGTTTCTGCATCATGTTAAAAAACAAACTGGAAACTTATCCTTTATATCAGACAACAATAAACGTGACGTATAATGTTTATGTAAACCATCTACACAAGCTATCTTATCTACAGGCTTTCATACTGCCTATTCTTACCTTACAGACATTGTGTTTACAGGGAGTTGTGATAGGTTGGTAGACCAACTCTTGACAACAAACACACATGAATACCTCCTCCACAGTAGACAGAAAGGTCTGCAACGTAAACCACGATAATATTACAGGTTAAAATAAAAAACAGTACGATACACATTACATACAAAAAATAAAAAAACATGTTCTTAATTCTAAAAATATACATAAATCTACAAACATATTTGTAAAGAAAACTATTTAAAAATAAAAGGCAAAAATACACAAAATTAACCAATAAAATTGATTACAGAAATCATAAAATTACATCACACTAGTAATAATTATTACATTCCATGAAATCATTCCAAAGAAAAGACAAGTAATAGGCTCCCAGCGGGAGCTGTGTGTACTGCCTATTACTGTAAGTTACGGTAAGTACAACCACGATCTAGAAAGCATCCTTCAAACGACCATAAAAGGCATTCGTATCACATCCATGCTGTGTCTCTATGACACATGATCAAGTTTCAAACGCAAGTTTGTTGAGTTTCGAAACTATTCCTTTTCTAATAAGGCACACCCTACTCCGTGGTAGTAGTACCCATCATGCACTTCCACCGGATTTACTCGCTCTTTCTGGGTTAACTGCCAGACGATACGCCCCCTACCCTATGGTAGTAATACCCATCATGCACCTCCACCAGAAATCTTTGACCTGCCTCTCTGTATGTCCATAAACTGACCTTCCCATTCTTGACCTGTTCCACAACATCACTCCAAGATTTCGAGTTCTCTTCATCTTCTTTAATTTTTTTCTTCATCTCCGCCGTTATCGCGGATCTCTCTGTTTTCTTTTTCTTTGCCGGTGTACCAGTTGAAGATGTCTCTAATTTCAAGATAATAGATAGTTCAATAAATCAAATAAAATATTCGTTTTTATTTTACTTTATTTTTATTTGCTGAATTAAAATTCACAGGAAAATAATGTTAGATGCTTTTTATTCAATACAAATGTTTTCACCTGATTCATTTTTCTTTCTTTTGCCCTTTGGTGTTGTGGGTTTGGTGTCCTCATCTGTGTCTTTTGATTTACCTTTCTTCTTTAGTTCTTTTTCCTTCTCTTTTGCAGCCATTGCTTCTAAATAGCCTTCAGGATACTTTGAAAAAAAATTCCAGAATTTTACTAAAGTGTATAAACATGATTTTTCTTATAGTAACATGTTCTCTTAACAATAAAAAAATTTATTCAATAAGTTTCAAGTTCACAGTACCCTAACAGGGGGGATCCAGAGATGTCCGAAAGGGGGACCCCACCCTAAGAGTTCCGGGGAATTCCCCTACGAAATGTGTTTTCCAGAGGTCCAGAAATAACCTCTGAGCCATTTTGGGTGGTCAATAATGTCTATTTCTTTTCTGTTTTTTTATTTACATTCCAAAGGGGGGAAGGGGGCTGGGGCTGCCTGGCCCCTCTAAATCTGCCCCTTCCTATTATTAATTACATGATTACATGTACATTTCACATTGCCACTTCCCTTTTAGTGACGCTGGACCAACCAACCAAAGGAAGTTTTTCTTCAGAGTGTTATAGAGGACAGGGATAAACTTCCAAATTTATATTTATTTTTGTACCTGTATTGAGAGTCCATGTTCTTTAATCAGTTTTTTTCCCGACTTGGTCCATGGGGCAGGATTTTCGTCATCACGACGAAGCAAGAATCGCCACACTCTAAATCCACTTTTCCCCTTTTCCGGCCAATATTGCACTATCTGAAAATGAAACCAAAAATTTAGTGTTTCTATTGATCCTCAATTACATAGCCTAGTGACCTAAAAGAAAAACTTATAAAAATATAATTAAATAATCTTAAAATTTGATGTTTATAAAGTTATTATTTGCTTAATTTGTATTTTATGTACATTATTATTAGTCTTCAGTTGCAAATTAGAACAGCAAAATATTGTCTTAACCAGTTAACATATCAATTAAACATAATTATTCAAGTAAGTTATTAGTGAAATTAAAATATAGAACAGGGACCATATTCCTTGTAAACTAAGACACTTTATAAATAACACTGTTCATAAATTCTTTACATGGGCCCTTTAAAATTTGCTGCATGTACTCCTTGTAAAGATCTTTGAATTGGCTAGTAATAAATTTAAGATTTACATAAGTGAAAATTGCTTGTTTGATCTGTTTCTTATCCTTATTTAAGGATAAAAACTTATTTTATCCTTATAAAAATCCAGTTTAAAGCTCTCTCCAGATTATCAAATTTTCTCTTCACAAAAAGCTGTTATATGCCCTTATATAGTAAAGATGTGCCTATATATGGTCATGATGTGATGTCATCATGACCATATTTTAGGCATGTCACATGTTTCTGCCAAATAAAATTTGATAAACCTGGACAGGGATTAATGTTTTTATAGCATCCTTGAGGGGAATTCTCTGATTCTACCACAATTTTAATTGTCAGGTAAAATATATTGACAGATGCTCAGACTGACGTGTCTTGGAATCAATCCTGATAAGTCATATCATTTAGCTGTCCTCATTGCATCAAAATTTCTAAATTGTATGGTTACATTGTTTCCAGTAATAATAGTTAATACTAAGCCGTTATTTAAATACAGTAGCATATAACATCCTATGTAATATTAATTTGTCTTGCATATATGTGTGGTATGTGTATTAGAAGGGATTAGGTTTAACACTGAAAACAACAAAATCACAAAATACAGTGACTTAGTGTATGTGCGAGATATTTACCTGGATAAACCGAACAAATGCCTTCCTGAAACAGGACACCCCTTTGAATAAATATAACAGTCCGACCCAGGGTGTCACGTTTGAACCCTCTCTTTAACAACAGTCCTCATTCCCTATTCTATTATATGAGATGGTGTTTTCCTTTTCGGGAACAAAGGCAATTAGTTTATCCAGTAAGTATTCATGATATAGAATACATTGAAATACTCTATGTAAAGATTATATAAACATTCTTTTTCATTCAATGTGGTGGTTATTGTAAATAACAGGACATAGAATAATTTATGTTCAATTTTCCTTGGAATCACTAGAATCATATTGTACCTTGTAAATTCCATCATATCTACAGCCATCTTCTGGAGCGTACTTTGAATGCTTCCTTCCCTTGCAGCTTCGCACAACACGGACCGACTTGCCAGAGCGCCAATCCTTCGCCGAACCTCCATTTACCTTGTCCAACGGGCAGTTGCAATTCCGTGCAAGGGCCCTGGGAAAATAACATGTTAGTATCAATATTTAGGCACAAAAAAACATCAAATTAATAAAATTTGAATGAAAATTCAAACAAAGTTTACATTTACGCTTGATAAAGATTCAGCTTTGTAAATAAACAATGAACAAATACACAAATAAACAAAGCAACAACAATACATTGATTGTTCTTAAAATTACTGATCCTAAAGCTTAGTACACACTATCAAATTTTCTTAATATATATGAACGTGAAGTCATCAAGACCATATTTAGGCAAGTCACAAGTTTTTGTCAAATAAAATATTTAAAAAAATATAATAGTCTGGACATCATTACATAAATGCTTAGTCATTGGTTTCTGGATCAGATTTATGTCAGATATTAACAAAATCAGTCATATTCCTACTACACACTACTGGTTTAATTAACAATTAACTAAAACAATCATATGCTGGCACAAACAAGTAGTGATTAACATATTTCTTACTGATTCATCTTGGTCAATTCTTGATCACATGACTGTTCAGCCGTTCGCTTGTTTCCAGAAAGGTCACGACCTCCACTTCCTGTGTATGTGAATTCTTCACCATTGTCCTGTGAGGAAGAATTAAGATGCATATATACTGCATCATTAATTCTGGATTTCGCATGTAAAGTCAATATCATAGTACAGGCTACAATGTAGATTAAAGTCCATGTCTCTTTATTTACCTAAATAGACTTGAAAATACTGGGATGCCTTTTGGCGGGGAATAGTTTTACCCTTTCAAGGCTTCATGTGAAATGCTTTGGTTGTTTGCATTCCATTTTTCACATCACTATATTTTCCAGTGTATGTATTTTTTTTCCTTATATTTTTCATGTACAACCTTTCATAAGGACTGCATATCTACCATTCTTGGATTGGTCAGTTTAATTAATAATTATTAATTTTCTATATACACCAAATAGTGATGATAGTTGTACAAAAAATTAAAGTTAGAATACTATACGAAATATAATAACCAATAAAATGCTTCATACCTCATCATCTTCATAACCGCCTGCTAAAACAATTGAATAAGCGCCTTCAGTTTCTCGGCCGTGAATGCCTGCCACATGAGGGCGGTGTACACCTGCTTCACTGACCTGTGAAAAATGAAGCCAGAGTAAATAAAGTCTAATTACTACATATCAAAGAATAATATTTGATTAATTTTAATCCTTACACAACTCCCAACATATTCTCAACAATTTATATAATAAATGTATGGAATGCATAAATAAAACCCCAGTATTGTAAGCATTGAGGGGGTGCATCAGTTTTGTAGCACCGAGAGTAATCCAGTGTGGTAGCAGTGAGATTGTACCCCAGTGCTGTAGAATGATAGTGTACTCCAAGATGATAAAGATCTACATGAAAAATATACATGCAATTACAGCCAGATTGCGTCACAAATGAAGCCCCTAATAGAAAAACAAACGACTTCCAATTTCACTCAAAATCATACTACCTGTATTATAAGCCAGCCCTCTCTCTCAGAGAGTGGGCTAAAAACTAATTTACCTGAACTCGGAATTTCCACAATGTTCCAATATGAACTCCAGGAATTTCTCCAAAGTGGTTTGGTGGTACAATAGTACAAATCTTTGAACGACCGACACAGGCCATGCCCTGCCGGGTGAAAAAAAAACATGGTGTAAAATAGAGTTGTATGCCCATATATACTGTATGTCATAATGTGCCTATATGGTCAAGACATGATGTCATGACAATATCTAGGCATGTCACATTTTCTTTTTGTCAAATAAAATTTGATAGTCTGGCTTTTTACAATTGCAATTCTCTCAAATATATTTATATACCAACAAACTAGTAACATGCATACACATTTTGAAAGTGTGAACTTTGAACTTGCCTTTCCCCAGTCTCGTTTGCAAGAGGACTTTGAGGATGCCATCTTTGCTTTCTTCTTGCTCTCTTTCAGCTTTTGCCCAGCTTGCACAACCTCACTGGCATCATTTTTACACAATGGACAATACCTGAAAAATAGGACAAGAACAAGCTTAAATCTCGCTCGCAATAAATTAATTTGAACACGACGACAGAGGGTAACTTTAACTTAGTCAAATCATGCTGCTGTTTGTATTTGAATTTAAATAACACAGTACATTTACACAAGCCTGTGGTTAAACAACAGTTCATAGGAATTTGCGCATGCATAGTCAGTCTAATCATGGTTACATTCTGCAACACTCAGAACATGCTCAGGAAAATTAAACAGCTGTGTTGTTTACATTGAACTTTTTGTGCTTGGGACAAAGAGCCTGACTATTCTTTCTGGGCAATTCTTGCTTGAGCCTTACTTTATGAATTGGGTAACTTTTATTACTTTTGGCCTTGTCTATATTAGTTTCACAAAGTTATTATATTTCATCCATGTTTATGTATTTTAATAAATACATAAATTAGAAGATCATAATAATACATCAGTAAAGAACTTAAATACATAGAATCCAGTTATGAAAAAGAACACAAAATAAATATTTAGTTAAAAAAAGACAGATATAAATACATTTTAAAAGAAATAGACTAAAAGATTTAAGATTTTTTTAAAACCAAGGAACTGTAACAAATATTAAGAGAGAAATGAAGGATATGGGTAAAAATATAATTGACAAAGTGAACTAGAATTCGTACCACTCCTCAACATCAGGCAGTTCAGCGAGCGGGGGATCAAGACAGTACAGGTGGTACGCCATGTCGCATTCGTCACACATTAGTTGTTTGTCGGGGTCGTCTTTACCTCCGCAATTATGACAGGCGCATTGTTTGCACTTCCTGTCGGGGTTGTCTTTACAATGATTGCACTCTGGCTGGTTGGATCCTGGAATAAAATAAACAATGTAATAGCGTATCTATTTGAATTATAGCCCCTCTTTGAATGAATGCCCTCCTCAAGTACAAGCCTCTGCTAGAGTCTCATTTGAAATAAACGTCTCTCGATGAAACACCACAAGGCATATATTTTTTCCCTCGAATAAATGCCATCTAAATGACTAAACAAATCTAATGGAAGCAACATCATTCTCAACACATCCTATTATTTGTTATACTCCAGTAGAATTACATTTTTTCCAACCGGGTTTAGTAAGTTTTTATGATCACAATAACACATTTGGACGGTAATTTCCACATTTACCATGAAATTAAGGGGCGTTTATTTGAGTTATACATATCCTTTTTACACAAAATAAATAAAATAAATAAATGCCTCCCTCGAATAAACGCCCCTCAAAAACTGTTCTCAACAATAAATGACCCCAGAAATGCCCTGGGGTGTTTATTCAAACAAATACGGTAATTAGCTAAATGTCCAATACCAATTAAATTTATATGAAGAAGTGGAGTTGAATAGTTTTGTGCTTAAGATGCTTGCATTTCAATCTTGGTTTCAATTTCTGTCATAATTAGAAGTTTATTTTCTCATGACTATAATAACTCCATTCAGTAGGACTCATAATGAGACTTAGTTATGCTTAGCACCTTGCGTGTATATTTTTGTATAAGGTTTAGCAACATAGGAAAATACACTGTTTGTCATATCCTTGGTCCTTGTGCCTAAATTTGTATTTAAACTGTGTAAATATATATAACTTAAAATTGCATAGCAAATTAATTTTTAAAATGTATCAAGCTACAATTCTTCCACAGCTTAAGTTTGGTTTCAATACAAACACTACTCTTTCACTACAGTGTTTTCAGTGCAATCGTTGCACTGTGTAGCTGCAGTCCCCGAAGGCTCCCCTATTCGACGACCAATCAGCATCACTGAAAGCTGTCGGCGATAGCATGTAACGATTTTGTGGAATCCAAGCTTAGAGAGTGAAGTTGTCTTAAGATGTACTTGGGTATCGACTTACTTCTTACTGAAGAGGCATCTTCAAGTTCCACACTCACTTCACCATATTTCTCAATTTTATAAATTTCATCAGTCAATTTTATTTTGCAATCTTGCAGGGCATCTCCAGCAGGGCCAAGCAGTACATTGCCAATTAACTCATTGCAGGTTCGACGGGATTTCTGAAACATGCAAAGATTTATTGTGTTATATATTTATCTATTTCAATAATTTTATTGGAACTTTCAATAATTGTTAATGACTTTTGTGTATTGCCAGAGAAGAAAAATTTTATTGCTTAATACTTGGAGAAGAAAAATTCTATTGCTTAATACTTGGACAATTTAGTTTATATCATGTTCTTAAAATATTTTAAAAAGTACTACTTACCATGCTTTTAATTTCAAAATCATACCAAAAGCCTCGTTCATTAGGATCGTCGGAGTTGTAGTTTGCCATCACCACGTCTCCAACCTTCATCTCTTCCCATTTTAAAATTGTACGAGCTCGAGGGCGCATGTACTTGCTGCTAAGGTCTGCTACTTCATTATCGTCATACCTATTTATGTTTAAAAAAAAATGTTTGGAATACAGACCTGTAATATTTTCAGGCTATACCGTAATGGCTGGAATAAGTGCTACTGTGTGCTCAGCAGTTTGTGGGGGGGGGGGGGAGAGAACCTGTGAAGAATTTTTTTTAAATATAGTGTACATACTGTAATTTTAATTAGCATTCAGTGCTAGTGGCATTATCATAAAAATAATGTTCATGGTTAGAGGCGCAAATTGTTCTTCTCGAAGGCCTGGTGCCAACATGATCAGCGATCATATTATTTAGAAGCTAATAATTGCCCTCTTCCCAATCCTCAACAAAAAGCTTTTAATTTTTAAGTCAAACTCAACTGCTCACTCTAGTATTGGTTATTAATATTACAATTCTGTTCTATTTATTCTGTTGGTTTAGTGGTAAATTGCAGTTCAATTCCATATAATAATAATAATAATAATAATAATAATAATAATAATAATAATAATAATAATAATAATAATAATAATTCCCTTCAAAAAATCTTCCTGTAGTCAACAGCTTTGTTATAATCCAAGGTTTTCTGCTTTTGTGTGAACACCAAAAACACTCATCAAAAGATATTTTCTTATATTCCTTCTACATGTTAATTTCAAAATCTTTTGAAAAAGAAAGGGATGTTCCCTTTTGGGAAAGAATAGGCACTTAGTCAGTTTATTCTGGTAAGTGTTCATGAAATAGACTTTACAATCTAATTCTAACAGATTTATTCTATGTCTACATACTTAGCCATAATCCGATATAATACAAGAAAAAAAAAAGACCCTTTTCTGGTGTCAGTGACGAAATATGTACATGAATTTATGTGTTACTTACCCCTCAAACCTCACATGATATATCAACGATTCCTCAGGTATTTCCTTTCCATCTTCATTCACTCTACATTCTTTTTCTTGAGATACATCTTCATCTTTCTCTTTCTTAGTCTCCTTTTCATCATTTTCCTTGCTGGAAGCTCCATTTCTCTCAGTTTGTTCATTTTGGTTTTGGTCAACTATTCCACTTGGTTCCTCATCTATTTTAGGAGTAGCAATGCTGATGTTTGTTATGGTTGCTTCGAACCATGCCCCCATACTTATGTCCATAGCATCAACTATATCCCCAACCTGCAAAATAAACATCCATAAATTTAATTTATGGTGATAAACTATAAGACAGCATCCACGAAACAGGTTGCTTGTTAGTAAAATTACAATAGGCCTATATTAAGCTCTGGGCACTTAATTGTTATCCGACAAATTACTTGTGTGATTTGCCCATAGGAATGGATGATGATGTCAATATCACTCCCATATACGGACATGATACCATTTTCTAAAAATAGGCTCCCTGTGGGAGCGTCTACTGCTACACATATATTTTTATTTTGGCTAGTAACTTATCCCTCTCTCTGTGTTGGCAATTGTACAGAAAGGTCTTTAGCTCATGACCCACCTCATCATTCCTCCATTCCATATCGGATTTACTCTTACATGGTGAACTGCTACAGTGGACAACAACATACAGTAGTGTCTACTGTACTTCCACCGAGGGGCAGTAGACACAAAAACCATATTTATAGAGGGGGATAATTCTCCCAGTGTTATCATACTGTAGGTCTGCTGATATTCAGGGGTCCTCTTAATACATGAAAATGATGTTTTTTTAGTCATGAGAAAAAGTCCTATCACAGGAATTGAACCCAGGACCCTGGGATTAGAAGGAAGATTCTTAACCACTAAGCTATTCAACTCCACTACACTCAACACCAAAGCACATCTGAATGGGTATTTGTCGCATATAATCTTTTAAGTGTGTTACTTTTTTTTTAAACACTTTTTGTACACCTCCTCATCCTTTTTTGGGTTATCATGTGAACTTTATGAACAATAACAAGGAAATTATGCAGCCGGGCCTAAATGTACTGTACACACACTATTGCAAGTACCTGTAATCCAAACAAATTTGTGATGACTGGGCCTAAAACATGACTCTGTGCTGACAGTTGTGGGTAAGCCTGAAGTTTCTTTAGCTCCGAGGAGAAGCTCTGGAAAAACTTGGCTGATTGATTAATCAATCCGAGTGCTTAATAGATCTTTTCAGCTACGATGAAAAGCTCTAGAAACACTCGGTTGATAATTAGATCATTTTTGTATGGGCAGTTGATAGGGTCAATATACTCTACCGTCTCTATTATACTGCTCCCATCAGAACTTTCGAGATTATAAGAACTTGTTTATATATATTCATTTTGAATGAGAAAACAATTATATGTTTTTTTTCTCATTCTCTGATTATCTTTAAAAAATTATTTTTGTTAAACAAGCTACAAACAAGTTCTTATAAACAAAAATAATTTTTTAAAGATAATCAGAGAATGATAAAAAAAACAAATAATTGTTTTCTCATTCAAAATGAATCGGAAAAGCAAGGGCAAAGAAAAAAAGGCAAGTCCGAGGACAGGGAGTTGGCAAGACAAAGAAATAGAGAAGGCGTACCCTAAATCCTTACCTAATATCCTATCATGTACTGTAGTTGTAAGGAAATTTATGTTTTAGACTTAGAATAATGAAACAGATATCAAAATTCACAATAACCTTCTTTGGATCGGAATTAGCAACATTTTAAATTTTATGATCACCATGTTCAAGATACTGTACACATTTTGTGGTGAAATCTCTAAAAATTCAAAAACGCATCTTTTTTCTTTTAAAAGGTTTAAATAAGTTGTTTCATTGAGATGTAGACTGAACAAAAAATTGATTTTTTAAAAGCAGTACTTCTATCGGCATTATGAAACATTGACAATATTTTCTTCTAATGTTCACTTGAAAACCAATAACTTTTAGTACAAAGTAATAAATTAAAATAGTTAATTATATTTTTTACAATACAGAGCATATCTTTAAGGCGAGAATTATTTATACCTTGTTTTATGAACCTGCTGCACACCAATAATGATGATTTCAAATAAAAATATAATTTTATTTTTGGCCAATTACTGCACCCGCCACGATGAAAAATGGAAATTTCTTTTTCTTTATTTTTATATAAATGTATATATGTATAATTATGTATATATTTCTTCCTAATTATACTGTATAAATTTAAAACATTTACAATCTCATTACTACACTGTTTACATTCACCAATAAAATTCCATTTTTATTTGCTCCTCTGTCTGGATGATTTTGGCAAAACTATTTGCTAATAAGAAAACAAATTTTCATATTTATTTTTTCCACCCTCTGACGACCTTTAAAATAAGTTTGTAAAACAAGGTATAAAAAGTCCCTCGCCTTATGAGAGATAAACCAATTTACAATTGATTTCTTCTCAATATCAAATCATACTGTACATTTACTTTGTTTCAAAATGTAATTCAGAGAGCCTGCCAAAAGTTCAAGATTGTTTGTGGCAAAAAGATACTTGGAATAACACCAACTGAGAGAGAATTCATAGCAAACAGTTTCACCACAAAAATATTTTGCATTGTTGAATACTTGCCTTGTATTGACCTCTGAGTTTGTTGACCTCACCACTGCTTGAGGGACCTTCCGTTACCATGGCTACCTCTCCATTATAGCTCCCGCTTCCAGATTGCTCGGAGTCGCTCACTTCTGAACAGAAACCACTCTCCGGTTTGCTTTCTTCCTCAGATTTATCTTCCACAGCGCACGGGGGCGGTACACTACGCACCATAATCTGAACAATCTCATTAAGTCCGACATGATAGTCGAACAGCGAGTGGCCATCAACCAACTGAAGCGTAAAATGAAAATAGAATTAGATATTTATGTGATTCTTGCAATATGTAACAGAATAAAATGGAGGCTGGACATATACACAATTTTAAATTTTATACATAAAGTTAAACCTCTGCATGTAAACACAATAGATAGCTTCCATAGTGTGTTTGACCCTATGACCTTGCAGCTGCAGCTCATAAAGACAACAGTTAACATTCTAGTACAGTGCCATACTGTATAGCGAGACAAGAAAAACGTAATAGCAATAACACAAGCTGTTTGAAACGCTGTATTTCCTACAAATGATGGCAATAACAGAATGAATCATTGGAAGTGTGCATAGCAAGAAAACCCCAAGGCAATGACTTTCCCCACAAAAGTTGAAACGCTTTGAGATGTTTTTCACCAATGAAAACAATTAATTAAAAAAAAAAAAAGAAAAAAAAATTTACGGTTCAGATATTTATCATTTACTTCATGTCAATATTAATACTCTACCAGGGTATAAAATTGATTTCACCAATATACTGTATTGATATTATATCTTTTCAGATATTGCATGTTCCTAAGTGGGTGGCCAACCCATTCAGGCAAATTAGGTACATTTGAAATACCATGCAACAAAACTAACTGCAGACCTTTAGTCAATATATGTAAATTAGCACAACGTTACTGCCAGTTACAGGTATGGTATATACTGTATCTTCCCATATTTTATGGAACAATATATATACAACAAAAAATAAAATATATATTGCAAAAATGCAACCAAAACTCATGCAAATGATGCGTGCCCTGTGTTTCGCAGAATATTTAGTAAAACACTGAAATAAGAGAATCTCTATTAAAACGGATGGAACAAATTTGTGCCAATTTTTTTTTTTTATTTGGATGGAACAGCCACTATATTCTTTCATCTCTTTAAACAAAACAGGTACAGTAGTAAAACACTTTGCTCTGTCCACATCAATATCTTTTTTTTCTGAGGGATAGTCAAGATTTGATAAAGCATCTGGACCCTATTTGGAACCAATTATACGCTCAGTTATTTATGTGCAGATTCTTTTCATATCCTGAATTCCCTCCAAATTGCTGGTCAAAAATGTCAAGAATAAGTCAAATTGCAAGGAAATTATTCAACCATAGCAGTTTGTTTTCTGAGAATTAAGTAAAAAATGCAGATATATTTTTTCAGCTCTAACAAGTCCCTTAGCAAGTCTACATGTTCTTTTTGCAAGGCATTTTTGACTATAGTTTGGAATTTGTGAATTAATGTATAAATTATATAATGAAGAATTTATCGATAATCAGAGAATCATATTTTACTGGAGTGAGGTCGGAATGGTGGAAAATTTAAACATCCCGGTAAAATCGACAACTTCCAACAGAACAATTCAAACAAGAAACCCGGTTATGATTTGCCAAAAATTTGAAGATGTGATTATCAATATTTTTCTAGACAGGAACTAAAGACATTAGTTTTTTATTGCATGCTGAACAAAAAAATGTTAACTATTAAAAGGTAAATGAAATAATTGTTCACAATTTGAATCAGCTGTCTTGGCTATAATAATATGGGATGGTAAATCCAGTTGAAAAAATTTGATTTCAAACCTACAGGTAAAATGACTTTGGCTTGTTTCTCAGAAAAATTTGGGTAAAACATGACAACACAAGCATTTAGGTGAAATATGAAACCATGCTTGCCCTTCATTCAAAATGTATTCTGGTCTGTAATGAACAAAAAGGCCAAACACAACTACAGGTACCTAGCCAGTAGCCAAGGCCTCTAATTAATGTTAATGTACAGTATGGTCATCAAGAAACAGCTGGATCAACATGCTAAAAAATATTGGCAAAATCCAATAAGAAAAAAAATTTATCCAGAGAATAATTTGCTGTTCAGTAATTTTGTGTGAGACTAGACACAGTACGGTAGGCCTACACGTTAATTTAAGGACAAGGAAATGTATTAAACCCTGGAATTATCAATAATGCGCATTATGTACTATTAAATGGAGCTGTGTTAGTCTGGTAGACGTATGAAATAAAAACACTGGCTTCATCAGGTGTAGACAATAATGCGCGCAAGCGAATACATTATAAGTACACAAGCGTAAATTTCTGATGATTTTTCACTAGTGTACTCTGTACCGTATATTACTGTATATTGCACGGATTAACAGATGATAAAGCGGGGATAAAACAAAGCAGCACTTACATGAACATTTACAGTAGCAGTACAGTATGTGAATCCACTCCAAACTTTATATCCTAATTTGCGCATATGTGCCTTCGAAAGAATTGTTAACACTCTTTATATTTTAAGCGAACAGAAGACTTTTAGAATTTTTAGAAAAAATATACAAGACTTTCAATAAATAGACTACTGTATGCCTTCAATCTGTAATATTTTGTTGGTTGGAAGTGGCTATCTGAACATTGCCATTTGATCAATGCAGTTTTCTGTCCATTGTATTTGTGGCTGTTTTGCACTTGATGGCCTATGGGATAGTTACCAAACATCCTGCAACATGTGGGACCATCCCTGATTTAAAGTCTTTTTATGAAACATTTTGCAAAATCTGTGTATTATCAGCTTATCACAGCTGGGTTCAAGAAACCATTTAGAAATAAAAAAAAATTAAAAAAAACCAACTATACAGTTTATCTCATTTTGTACACGACCACTGACATTTACAGTAGTGTCAAGTTGCCTGTATAATAACGGTCTAACCACTTATTAAAACGTTAAAGGTTATGCATTTATAATACTGCACAAAAGTCTATGTGCAAAAACATAAAATTATATTTAAAAAATTCCTATACCCTCCCCAAAATCCCCTCCTTGATTGATGCTACTTGTCAAACTCCACTTACATACATTTTCATTGGTCATGCATTCTCTGATGTTTGTTTAAATGCTAAATTTATAGTTTTGATCCCTTATTTTTATTCTATCAGTGGACATCGTTGCAACATCACATCCAGTGGAATCAACAAAAAAAAACTCCCAAAACAAACAAAAGTGCAAAGCAATGAAGAACACACAAATGGTGGTGCAGACTAAAAAAAAACATGCCGGTATAATTTTTAGTATGGATGGAATGATCTAACTTTTTTTTATAATTTAAATATACTGTACTGTAGCCTAGCTAGGCCTAGGCACACACACACTAGGCTAGCTAGGCTACTTTCTTTTTTATTGACATGGCCTAGGAGGAGGGTAGGCCTAGACAATTGTGGAGAAATAATGTCCAGTATACATAATAAGGCTACTTTCTTCAAATATTTACCGTCACGTACATAATTTACCTACTTTTTAGCCGCCGCGATTCAAGGTAACCCCGGGGCCCAATTCTAGACGGCTGTCTGTCCAGCAGTAAAGTAAGCTGCCGTGATTGAAGAACGCTGTCTAACTCTTGTTGTTCGTTATTTATGTTCTCGCTGGTAGTAATACGATCGCCTACCATATTTTTAATTTAAACAACAAATCAAATTTTGTCATAATAACATTTTAAAAATACACAAATAAATCATAATCCTGATACTATGTACAATAATCCTCCTAACCTGCTTTCCCCTAAAGAACAAGCGTTGTCGATCGGGCGGTGCGTCGAATTTATCAACGAGTCTCTCGCGAAGTTCCTCAATTTTCGTGAGCTTCGAGAGGCCATCTACCCGAATAGACTTCTTCCCGTCAAAACTCCTCACTTGGATCCACATCTCGGCTTATTTACTTGACAAACGCTTTCAACAAATGGATGGGTCTTCAGTGTATTATATTGTCAATCAGACATGAGCGAATCTTTGAAGAAGTTAAACGTTCTTAGGCACCTATTTCCAATTCACAACACGAAGTTGAACACAACAACAACCCAGTCTGGTCGCAGTTTTCACATGTTACAACAAGTGGCGCGAAAGGTCTTAAATGACCCGATGATAATCTCTTATCCAGCCGCTTCATAATCATTAAGCTTACGCCACAGTATCGTAATTCTTGACGTCAATATAATATAATATTATAATATTGAGTTTGATATGATATATGTCTAAGGTATTTAATTTAATTTATTTACATAATTTTAATTTTATTTACATCATCATCATCACCACAAAAAAAATTGTATTCAAGATTAAAACCATGGATATATATATATATATATATATAATATATATATAATTATATATATATATATATATTAATATATTTCTCCATGGTAGAATGAAGAAAATCATAGCAGAAAATGGCACGTAATTATAAGATAATAATTATAATTATAATATATTCAAATTTAATATGATGATAATGATCTGTTGTTGTAGATGTTGATTTATGGTGATGATTTTGATGATGATAAGCATGATGAGGATGATGATGGCAGTGATAATGCTGATGATGATAAATGATGATGATTTTGTGAATTTGATGGTGATGATGACAATGCCAGTGATGATCATGATGATGATCTCACAATACCGCAAATGCTCGAATAAAATTGTTGGAAGCTTCAGTGCGGCGCTTATTTGAGAGCGGGCGTTTTAAAAACAAATTGGCGAGTTTCCATGCCCGTTCCCATGTTACCTATTTCACGTATTCCCGTAGTCTATCATAGGTCTTATCATAAAAAATTAACGTTTATAAAGAAATGCATGTCTTCATTGTATTATTTCATTATTTTAACACTGTGTCTCAAAGTGTTTCTACACACAGCGTAATATAATTATACTCTAGATTAAGCGCCGCGGCGTTTATTCGAGAGCGGCGCTTATTCGAGCATTTACGTTATGATTGAATGATGATTTCGATAATAAAATGGTGATTATATAATAATGCATGGTGATGATGATCTCAAATGATACTGATTATGATAATGATAGTGATGATGATGATGATAATGTTAGTGACGATAAATATCTACAAATTAAAATATACTGTGCTTTCCAGGTAGTACATTAACACCTATCATACGTCTATGTACATGATAGGAAATATAAATCAAAATCTTTTTTTCTCAATTTGATGGTTTGAAGAATCCTTCCAAGTTACTGTTGATTTATAACAATATAATATAATGTATTATCAATACAGTATACCTATATCAATGCATTATAACTTCAGGCTACTATATATTGATTATATCACTATTTTTGTATACAGTATTTACATTTATATCATTATTATTCATATCATGTATCATTATATCATTATATTTAGTTTTAATATTACTTCAGGCCTACATTAGCATTAGGCCTAGCAAGCCCGTAGCCAGGTTCTTCCTATGGGGGGGGGGGGGGGTTTCTGGGCGCGAGGTCCACAGTCGAAGCCCGTCGGCGAAACCTCCAAAGCAAGAGGATTTTCGTGTTTTATGGGTCTAAATAAAGCTATAAAAAGCAGATATGTTTGAAAATGTCTGTGCCTGGGTGGGTCTGCAGTACATTAGTTGGGTTGGAGGACTTATTTTTTGGGAAATTTAAAGAGGGGGTTTTGCCAGAAAAGAGGGGGTTTGCTAGAAAAGGGGGGGGGTTCTCCCGAACCATAGACCCCCCCCCCCGGATACGGGCCTGCTAGAGTAATCCAAATAAAATACAGTGTATACAGTACAAAGTAGTAGCATTTTTGCTTCAAGTTACACAAATTAACTTCACTCATTAATGTCTTACCTTGCTATTTTCGAAGAACGGCTGTTCTATAAGCCTAATTTATAGATCCCTGGATGGGCTCCAGGGGTTAAAGAAACAATACAGAGTTGTTTACATTTTTGCGCGGTGGTAATGTGACGAGTACAAGAAGGACTTAGGTAGGCATAGGCCTAGGCTTAAACTTCGGTAATATTTAAGATAATAAAGATATTCATACCTATAAACTGAAAATTAATTTTTATTTTAGCAAGGCCTATTATTACTTCAGCTTAATGAAGACTAGAATCAGGCCCTATAATACACAGATGAGACAGATCTGTTTTTTTTAGGCCTCTTCCCGTCTGTCTGACTTTAGTGAGGTAGGAATGTGATTCAATCAAGCAAGCATGCCAGTCTCCATGGCATTCTTGTGCGCCTGCCTCAGCTGTCAGCTGGGAGGGCATACACTGCATGATTGCTAGCTACTTAGGTCCAGATTCTACTATAGATTGGCGGTTACATTTCGACGGGCAACGAACTCCTGGCAAAATTAGTCTTGAAGAAAGGGTGACAAGTAGCTAATTAATGAATAACCTTTAACATTTAGAACTATAGTTTTCTGTTAAAAATCAATTATCAGCTCATTTTTTAAATTTATACCTGGAGCATACCCCCCCCCCCCAACACCATGACCTATACAGTACAAGAGGCCCAGGGCCATAACTACACTTAAACATACTGTCTGTAGTAGTGGTAGTACTACTAGACGTCCGGTACTGGATCTGTTCTTGTACAGTATTGCTAAACAAAAAAGTCAGGTACAGTAGTTGAGTCCTGGGGTTGGGTAATTTAGGGAAAAAATTTGTGAATAGAGCAAGTCCTAATTTCCTGTTGGTCTCTTGTTATTGCCTGGTATATTAAATATTCTCACCTCTTGTACCATCAGTGCACCCCACTATTAACCATCACCGCATTATTAACCATCACTTTGAAGAATGGAATAAATCAGTTTTATCCATGGGCAATCACTTATGTTTTAATTACTTAATCATTAATATTGTTATATTGTTACATTTACTTAGCTTTTAATAATGTGTTGAACTTTATTTTAGTATTTTTGTAATTTCAAGTAATGTCGTCCAGGAAAAGAAACATGGCTGCAGATTCGAGCAAAGAAACAAAAAGATTACGAAGGAGTAAAGCAAAAGGAAGAAACAGTCGGGAAAATAATGACACAGGCTTAGATGATGCTATAAGTCAACCCAGAAATACACAATGGATTGAACTAGGAAAGGCATCTGCTAAGGGTCTGAAACCTGTTTTTTTTTTTAAGGGATCATGTACTGGGTCAAGCAAAATTGCAGGATTTGACCTGGATTACACCTTGATACGTCCGAAGAGTGGTAAAAAATGGCCAACTGGTGAGTTGATGGAGGTTTTCAGTGTTTGGTTATCAAGTTCAAGAGAACATTTATTCTCAATAATAATACAAATATAATAAATAACTTGCCAAATTAGAGGGGCGAAAACCCAGAAAGCAGAGCTTGTGTAGGGCTGCCCAGAAAAGACGGAAAAAAAACAGAACAAACAAAAAATCAAAAACAAGACACACACGAGAAAAAATCAAGGAACAAAACAAGCCCAAAAAGGGAAAAGAGACAGCAAGACGGGTGACAAGACAAGACAGGCAAAGCGGACTACACAAGGATGCTCAGAAATGCTCTTTTCTTCTTTTTTTTTTTCTTTTTTAAATTTTGGGACAAAACAAAGTAATACGTGTTAGTAATGGGGATTGGGGATGGGTAAAGGGATTGGAAAATTATGCATAATTTTATAGGAGGTGTTTTTTCAGTCTTAAACAGAAGCTTTTTTGAGAATCGGAATTAAGAATGATACACAGCTTTAGGACCAGTAAATTTAATATTGTGCTGGAAAGAAGTGGTTCTATGATGGGGAATATGAAGATGATTTGATTTACACTAGATTTTATGTTGACATTTATTTATATAGGCCGTATTCAATTTTTTTCACTGGATAATATTTTCAATACAATAGTAATGGTCTCCCAAATCGTACAGCTTTGCTGAACAAGGTTAGAAATATAAAATTGTAATTAAAATTATATGAAAAACTAATTAAATAAACACTCCTTGTGCAACAAAGTAGGGCACTACCAAGATAAATACGTCCAGGGAATGAGAAACTTTAAAACTGCAAAACCAATGATTACATTTAGGTCAATTTAAGTTTTTTTTTTTCGTGCCTTTTCTTCTTGTTTTATTAATATTACTTTTATTTGTAGGCCCAAAAGATTGGGAGTTCATGAATGATGAAATCAAACCCAAGTTAAAACAAGTCCAACGGGATGGCTACAAGGTTGTTATTTTTACGAACCAACGTGGTATAGAGAAACAACACACCGATGCCAATCATTTCAAAGAGAAATGTGAAGCAATTATTTCATCACTTAGTATTCCTATTCAGGTACAATACTACAATGTTCTTTGGGTTATTTTTCCTCCACTCTCCTGTTTTGTGTTTTTTCTCTTCCTTTATTTTTTCTTATACCAATTTTTTTTTTCCATTTTCACCATAAATTCTGATTTTTTTTTCTCTGTGGGCCTGGAAAGCGCATAGAGACGAATGTTATATGTGCTATACAAGTGCACAACCATTGACCACTAAAATTATTCATATATTTGTTTATGCATTTGTTTGTGGTTTTGAAACAAATTACCTGTGAAGATGATTATACTTGTAGGTTATAGTAGCAACGACTGAAGGACACTTCCGAAAACCTAGCACTGAGCTCTGGGAAATCATGCAGAAGAATAACACAGGAATTAAGGTAGACTTGAAGCAATCTTTCTACGTTGGAGATGCAGCCGGGAGGGCTAAGAACTGGGCTCCAGGTAAACCTAAAGATTTCTCGGTGAGTGATCGTATGTTTGCCGCAAATGTTGGAGTACGCTTTCTGACGCCTGAGGAGTATTTTTTCGACGAGAACCCATGTCCCTTTGAATGGAGGTCAATTGATCCTAAAAATTACGTTGAAAATGCGAAGAAGATTGATGCTATTCAACCAAAGGTATCAATGTGAAATTATATGTATTTAAAGTAAATAATTTTTTTTTTTTTTTTTTTGGCAAAAGTTATCCTTTGAAATATGAATTAAATAAGCATATATTGACTTTTATCCTAGAGCTTCTCATTTACATGTTAATAACATTTAATTTTCTTTCGTTTGTCTTGGATTTTTTTAAAGGATAAGGACATGATTATCATGGTAGGGCCACCTGCCTGTGGAAAAAGTGCTTTATATCAAAACTCCCTGCAGCAACATGGCTATGTACGGGTCAACCAGGACACGTTGAAGACTCAACATAAGTGCCTGGCACTTGCTAATGCTTCAATGTCAGAGGGAAAAAGTGTTGTTATTGACAACACAAACCCATCAGTAACTACAAGGGAGACATACATTAATGCTGCCAAAAAGAAAGGTTTGTTATGCATTGTAGATACACAAGATTGAACAAGGTTCACTTCATAGGAGCTCCAAGCAAACAAGGCCGACTATACAAAAATCACTAAAATCTGTGATAATGTTTCATCCAGGGAGATGAGAATCATAAAACTGTCAAGTAGTTAAAATGAGCTCATACCACCTTATCTTGATAGCTAGCGCCGCACCCCCCGCCCTTACTTAATGATCAATACCTCCCACTTCACCTTCCCCACCCTTATTTCAGTACTCTCAGATATGCCACTAGTTTACAGCACTGGGGACCCACAACAACCCTTTTTCTCTTGACAGCCAAAAGTTTAGGTTGAAACAAAAAAAAAATTCTTACCCTCAAAGACTGCAGACACCAACCCAGCAGTGGCCCACCTAATGGTGATTTTAAAATATTTTAGGAAGGAAGGAATCTGCACAAAACGTGGGTCTAAAATACAGTAATGAGTCCTGAACATATGAAGAATTAAAAAAAAATAATACTGTAATATATTTGTTTTGTGGTGCAATAAGTTGTGGCCGATAAAGGGGCTTGGACTGTCCATCAGGGAAGATAGTTGAAGCTCTCGAATTGTGCCGTTGATATGAGCATTTATTTCGTGTTCCCCAACAAATTAGCATAGCAGTAGCTGCCCAACTCTTCATCAGTCCTATTTATCGCCCTTAAATCAGCCATAATATAGCGTATTTGTATTGATTCTTTGTCAGTTGCTGGGTGACTTATTTTAGACAATAGTTTTCACAATGGCAACGAAAAATGGAAGCTTTGTTTTTGACAACCCGCGAAAGGATTTGAAAAAAATTAAATACCACCATGCTCAATTGTTTTCAACTTTAACCTTGTTTGATTATGCAGAAATGCACACATCATAAAGTCACTAGGGTGCAAGGTGGTCTAAAGCCGGCATGTTGGCGTATCAAACCTTTAGAACAGAAACTTATGCCGGCGTGCCATTGCCACATTGCCAGCGTGCTTACCGCAATATTCCGGTATTACACCTCTGTCTTCAGGGCTTCAGCTTCCTGCTAGCTCTGTCACTGGCCCCTACATTCAATATATTCTGGATCTGTTACTACACATTATGTATGCATAACTAAAACATCTGCTGTTTTTTGTTTTTCAGGATACCGGGTTCGATGTGTTGTCATGGAAGTGCCTTTAGAACTAGCGAAGCATCTTAACTACGTCCGACAAAATTATACCAAAAGTGCTGTGAGAAGAATACCAAATGTGGCTTACAATATGTACAAAAAAAACTACCAAGTTCCACAGATATCGGAGGGTATAGACGAGATCATTCACTTTCCATTCCAACCACACTTTCAAGACGAAGTCCATAAGAAGTTGTTTCTACAGTGGACTGATTACTAGATTCAAAATATATAATTTTTAATCAATAGTATACAGTACAGCAGTCAAGTAATTCAGGGGGTATACTGTAAGATGTCTGACAATTTCCAATAGGGAATGCAGGATTCAGAGAAGACCTGTTGGGCCTTTGGCTCCTAATGAACCCAATTAAGCTGAGATGTTTTAGAAAATATCGCCTGAAGAATTTCAAAAAGAAACTTCTTAGCCTGACGAGTCGTGGACAACAGAGAGATAAGCACCTTCCCCGGCTGGTGGTGCCACTGCAGTATGGTAGTGTTTTTTGGTTTTTTTTATGTATATAATGTTCAGTAACTATATAAATAATGCATAATTTTAAACGAGCTGTATATATTTCATACTTTTATTCTACTTCTAGAAAAGAAGAGGGAAAAAGGAAGGTTGACTGTTAAATGTTGATAGTTGAGCGAGTGATTAATTATGTATATTTTGTTAATTTGTGAGTGCCTCTTTTAGTGAAACTGCACTGTAAGGGATAAAGAATTTTGCTTTTGAGTTATCTGTAAAGATAAGATTAAATGACGTTATTTAGTCTTCGAAACAATTCAATTTATTTTTACATATACAGTGTATTGAAAACTTACTACTACATATGGCTGTTTGCGAAACAGTTTATTCTTGTATGCGATATGCTAAAAGTACCAAGATGATCTCACATGAGATTTGCGTATAGATGAAGCCATTGCCCAAGAGCATTGCAGCCAGCATGTCATGTTTAAAATACTGACTGTGGCCATGGTATGCTGGCTGTGCCCATGTAAGCAGTTTGTGGATGTGACACAGGTGATCAGCGAACAAAATGTGCAATACCTCTATATCTGTACTGTAATTGATGCCAGAGTCCCAGCCAATAAGATCACTTTGTCACAGATTTTGTAACTTTGCAGACAATGACAACTATGATTCATGATTCAAAAACACAAGGCAAAATTAAAGTAATATAGAGTTTGTGATTAAAGGTGTTTTTCTTGTTCTTTATTTACAAACCACATACAGTACATAAGAGTATGTCCACATAACAACTTGAACATAAATATAGATATAGGAAGTACAGTATTAGATAAAGACAGTAAAGAAAAAAAATAAATTTTCTTGTCTAACTTTAAAAAAAAGAAAAAGGAGGCCCGTTTACTGGCTGTCAAATAAAATTTGATGTAGACAGGCCAAAGCGGAATAATATAGTAATTATTATTAATAAGTAATTCCAGCAAAAAATAAAGATTGCAAAGCTGGGAATAGAAGCACAAAATGGAAGAATGCCGGGAGGAACTGCAAATTTTTTTACTTGCCTAATCATCTTTACAACAATAACAAAGTACAGTAATAAAATTTCAGTAATACACCAAGGAATACATATGTCATTATGGACATCTACAGATTATGTACATCAAATTATATCATTTAACGCTACCCTAAATTTATACTGGTATCACCCACAGGGCCCAGGTTTGATAACCTGTTTTAGAAATAAGAAAAAAAGCTGTCACAGAATTAAAACTCAGGAACCTTGGAATATGAAGGCAGGTGCAGATACAGCTCAGGGGCACATGCCGACTGTTTTGGTAAAACATTTTAAAATTTCAATGTATATCAATGTTATGTATGGAAATAATCGCTACTTGCTTGTCTAAGAAAATGTTGTGCCCCCACCCACGTTTGAAAACTATTCAACTCCACTCTTATACTTGTTCCTACTAACTTCAACAAAATAAAATAATAAATAAGGGTTTATGAAAAAGAGAAGGCATTATTTACTGTTAATTGGTGAGGAAAACATTTACTTATTCTAACTTTTATTATTTAATATATTTTCAGTGCAGACTTCAATAAAACAGTAGGCCTAAATATCAATGAATGGACCTTTCCACTAAGCCCCATCCCTTGGATTTTGTTGCTATATTAAGGTCCCTGCAGTGTAAACCATATGCAAACAACTGCATCTGTGGGACAGAACATGATGTGTTTGTGAGACATGCATGTATTCCTGTCCTTGTTGATTGGTCAGTTTTAAATTTGACACTGGAAAGGTCTACTATCATATAGTTTATTATTAATGCATGATGATGAGTAATTTACAAAAATGTTAAAATCATAATTTTACCAACAATATTGATATAAATTAAACTTGCGCTATTAAAAACTTATTACTTTTGAAAGATTTTGATATAAGTTATCATAAATGCCTAAATCATTACAATACATGAACAATCATAAAAAAGTTTCTTCAACTTCTAGTCTAAGTTGCAGCATATAATTCTCTAGGTACATGGGGGAGGGGAGAGTACATTTTAGATACATTTGTACATGGGGGAGGGGAGAGTACATTGTAGGTATATTTGTACATTGGGGGAGGGTAGAGTACATTGTAGGTACATTTGTACATGGTGGAGGGGAGAGTACATTGTATGTACATTTGTACATGGGGGAGGGGAGAGTACATTTATGTACATTTGTACATGGGGGAGGGGAGAGTACATTGTAGGTACATTTGTACACATGTCGTACAAAGTTTTCAATACCCAGGCTTTTCGTAACTCTGATGCAGATGTTTCGTAACCCGGACGTTTATGGCTTAAAAATGTCTGCATTATGAAATGTCTGTGGTACAGTTATGAACAATCTTGTTTATGAAAAGTCAGGGTTAAAAACTTGGCACTCACACCAAAAAACCCCCAGGTACAGGGATTCCATGTCATCTTACAAAACCTACAGAGTGGGTGGTGTTCAACGATAAAGTAATATCTTTACGAAATACTACAAAAGTAGCATTTAATTACTATTTTTTAAATTAAAAAGTATTTAAAACCAATTTAATAAAATAACAAGATTGCATTAGAGCACTTCAGAATATTAAAAAGGTATACTTTTCAAGAAAAAAACTATAAAGTTAAAAAAATCACCAAAAAAATTAGAAGGAAAGCAGACATGGCAGTATTGATAAGAATATTGCAAATATTAAAAATATAATTTTATATATTTTACATTTACAGAATATTATCAACAGTGATGAACTTCATATAGGTAGTAATAATGAGATAATATAAACAATAAACCAATGTAGTAAAATATTTTTTTGTAATAGAACCAACATTGATATATGAATGACACAAATAATCACCCTCTCACAACCCAATCCACAAAACTCTCTCATGTTTGGGGTTAAACCTACACCAACTTAGAGCCTATGACTTTGCACTTTATTATACCGTGAAACCTCAAATTGAAGCCCACTGAGCTTAATCTCGAGAAGAAGCCCATCTCAAATTAAAGCCCACCCTCTTCAGTTCACAAAATTAGCCTTGAAAAGTAACCCATGGGCTTCTTTTCAAGATGTAGGCCTAAACCCTGAGGAATAACGAAATTTGAGCAATATTTCAAAATAATCCTAACTGATATACTATATTGTATTTTGAGTGTAAATTCATAATAAATCATTCAGCTTAATCTCGAGAAGAAGCCATCTCAAATTAAAGCCCACCTCATCAGTTTGCAAAATTAGCCTGGAAAAGTAGTCCATGGGCTTCTTTTCAAGATGTAGGCCTAAACCCTGAGGAACAATGAAATTTGAGCAATATTTAAAATAACCCTAACTGATATACTATATTGTATTTTGAGTGTAAATTCTTAATAAATCATTAAATTAATTCAATAAAATAATATCAGTGATAAAAATACATCTGAATACAAAAATATATATTGTTCTTGAACAGAATAATAAGTGCAAGGACTTAAAAAGTAAAAACATTAAAGATAGAATATGTTGAGTTTTTAACTAATATTCCAATAATTCATTAAAATACAGATGAGTTTTAATTGCGATACCAGTGACCTAGTAGTAATAATAATAATAAAACAATTATACAGTTGAACTTGCCTAAGTTGAATCCAAAATGGAATTGAAAAATTGTTTGACTTGGATAAAAAAAATTTTGAGTTAGGCAATGTCAACTAGGAAACATTAACTGTAATAAAAATTATAATAATAATACTAATTTGCATTTGATACCATAAATGATCAAATAAGCATAGCACCAAACATGTTTCAAATGCCACTTCTTTTTTCAAATCAAAGAAACTATTTAATACAACAGATTTCTTGTGAAATGAATAATACTAAAGGTTAAAGGTTGTAGAAGTGCCCCCATCAAATTATTACCTTTCCAAAGCCAAAATTGTATAATGTCACGGTGTTTACTAGTTCATTTATGATATATCAAAGAAAACAAAAGGAATCAAGAAGGTGTGACATATAAAAAAAAATTTTTTAATGGTAATGGCATGATAATTATTGTTTTTGTGATTTTTATATCTGGATCTGTCCACAAAAAACAATTGACTCAAGGCATGAAAAAAACCCCAATGACAACATGTTCGGGGGTTGAATGTAGGCCTATAATTTCCATACTACAATTAAATTATTTCTTTAAAAATCTTTAAATTTAGTCTTCTGGAAACTTAGCAAATTATGGTTACAATCTTTTCATTTCTTAAAATTAATTTGTATTCTCAAAATTTTCAATATTTAATACATTATTTGTTAAAACATTATAAACAAAAAATTGATAAAAATATCAACATTTATTTAAAAATGACTCGCCAAAAAGTTATCATATTCTATATTCTGGAATGAATCCTGTCTGTCAGTACAGAAAATGAGAGCATCTTAAATATTACAGATTTATTTGGCTTTTACATCATATAAACTTGTTTCTACTGCGACTGAAAAATTACACCCTTCCAATACTGTAAAAAATACCTTTAGCACTGGCTCATTATTTGAAGCATAATGCTGTGGCACGTCCCTCGCTGCAACACAAGATATGATCCACTCCAATTTAGCTTTAAGCCCTGTCCAGGGCTGTTGTATGCCCATATATAGTCATGATGTGTCTATATAAGGTCATGATGTGATGTCATCATGACCATATTTAGGCATCAAATAAAATTTGATAGTCTGTACAGAGCTTTATACTTTAACTTCCCACCGAGTACTGTAATTGGCTATGAATCGTTAATATCACTACTGTACTGCCAACATTTTTGAACATTTTTTGAATGCAGAAAAGTTGAGATGTAAGAATCGTACTGTTTATAAATTTAAAGAAATCGAAAACTGTTGCATTTTGAGTGCAAAAATTATTCATGATTTTAGCATGCTGGAATCCATTGAGACTGTGGGGGCAGGTATTTATTAGATTGGAAATTAAAATGTCGGAAACAAAGCCTTTGTATTCACTGATCGTTTAAATGTTTTGTATTTTTTATATTAAATACTGACTATAATGATAAGATTCTATATTGCATCACCTTATTACGAGCCGCTATAAAACCTACATAAAATGAGTTACTTATAAACTTCAATTTAAAATGTTTATATATTTAATGAATTACTGATATGCCCTTAACAAGAAATATATCCTTAAAATAGACTTCCTTTCTTTTCAGTAGGTAAGAATAAAGTGAGAAAAATAATTTAGAAAAATATAAGAAAACAGTGAATAAATTGCTATAAAGATACTTCAGCCATTCTTGAAGATCCTTCTTCATCTTCGTCCACTGGCGATGGTTCTAGCAAAGGTCTATTAGAAAAACAAAAAATAAACTAGATTATTTTATAACATTTAACACTAAATTCACTTTCCAATTAAGAAATTTCCACATACCCGAAACTTAGTGACAAATACTTTTGACTTACTCATATATTAGTATATGATAATCACATGGCCATATGGATGTGATACAATGACATCATTTTTGCTATGTGATCCTTAGGACATAACCTATCTTGTCTCGTGTGAAATGGATATTTGTTTCATTAAGAGAAATGTACTGCTGCAATGATGTTTCATTGTAATTCTCTATAGGGATTGAGAAGAAGACGAAAAAGACTGCTAGCTTTGTTTGGTTTGCTTACGGTACAATAAACAATAGGTAGGGATACACCTAAGCCAAACCAGGCACTGTCGACATTAAACGCAGCCATTTCAGGCTTTTTTTTAAATGTTTAATCATGAAAAATGTACTCACTTTTTATTATGAGGTATCTGATTACTAGGCCTAGAAAACTAGGCTTAATAATTACTAGTTACCTTAGAAACCAACTACCCAAAAGAATTCTTTGCATGGCTGTGATCGGTCAAAGGTTATTTGTTTTCACATTCGGAGCTTTTTTCTAATAAATTATCTGACTCTCATACAAAAATTTATTGGAAAATTTGGGCCCTGTTTCCGCAGTGAAAAATAACAAAATGGCCGCTTTCCGATAATTTATCTGATAATAAGTGCTGTGGAAACACAATCTAAGGCTCAGTAGTCCTACACAGTATCAACTTTTATGTGACAAAAAATGTGATATGCCCATATTTGGGTGTAATATGATATTATTATGCCCATGTTTGGGCACATTACACAAATTTGTCACATAAAAAATTGAGTACAAAACTACAGTACCAACCAAGTAGTTAAAACAACCGGGAAAGAGATATTAAAAATACAATAGCAGCTTTGTCTCACCTATCAGCTCGTCTTGCTTGTATGTTTGTGCGCTGTCTGTAGGCAATGACCATGAGCACTATCAGAAGAGCTACAAAAGCTGCTGCCATCAGTAAACCTAATACTACATCATTTAAATTTTTCTTTTTCGGAGACGATTCTTCTTGAACCTTCTTAACCCTGTTCGTTGTTAAATCTGGTTGTTCTTTGACATGTACATCATTTGAGCACACTTTGTCCCTAACACCTAGGAAAAAAATGTTCAAATGAAAACATCATTAATATTATTATTATTCTGTTTTAGTGTCTTTTTAGCATTTTGCATTATTTAATTGTTAAATTTAAAAATTTTATTTCTATTATTGAATATTTTTTGAATAACCATAAAAATACTAGATGACCTCCACAAAACAATGGCCAACCATGCTTTTGATGATATGGTCTATGATGATATGGTGGGATGTGGGGACTCCCCAGTCCCGACACCCACAGGCTTAGCCAGCGAGCCGTCCGGCCGTCTTTTGGACGGCCTACAGATATTTAGGACAGCCACTTTTACCGTGACGGCTTGGCCTAATCAGCTCGGCCTAGCCTACAGTAATTGGGCCTGGTCTACCTGTATCAAATTCTTTATATTCTTCAAATCTATCGAATGTTACATTAAATTAAATCTAAATCAAATTTCAGTTTGATAAAAACAAAATTTTTTGATTAAATGTACGTTGTTTTCGCACCGATATTCGGTGGTAATTACCAAAGATGGGCGTGGCCCGCTTATCGGCTCAGTGACATGCCCACTGGCCTATTTCGTTTTGCTGGCTAAACCCCTGCCCACACCCCACTCCCCATCACTGCTTTGATTAATTATACATACTGTACAGACTATGTATGTACCTACACTCTAGAAATCACTCAATCATATACCAATAGGTTCATTTAAAAAATTAACATAATAAAAATAACGTAATTTGTTAACACAAAATCTAGTTAAATATTTTCATACAATGAAAAATAATTCAACCCATTATGTCTCATACTAAAACTGCAATGCTTTCAGTGACCAAAATGATTAACTAAACCTCATGATGATGAATCACCCTCACACAGGCCTACCTGACAACACTTGAAGAGTGGCTGACGTGGCATGATTGGTTATGTTAACACACTCAAGTTGCACTGTTAAATCTGACCCTGTATATGGCATCATGCGGTAACCAAACGGTCCAACGAGCTCTTTTTGGGCCTCTCTGTCAGAATACTTGTAATTAATGCTGCATTTTATATAATCTAAAGATCTCTGCCATTCAATTAACGTGAAGTCTTTTTGTTGCTGTACTGTACATATTATTAAAGGATCTAAGAAAAAAAAATCATTATCAAACTTCAAACATCAAATCCTTAGAAAATATACTCTTGCAGACCTGCCAACCCTTGGGTCATGAAAATCTGGAGAATTTTTTAAGAATCTTAAAAAAATCTGGAGATTTACCAAGAAATCTGGAGGTTTCCAGAATCAACCAAAAGATGAATCAAGATAACAAAAAAAGTCATGTCACTACAAATAATTGGCTGTTGGTGGTGACATTCAAATTGAAAATGGCTGTTTGTTTATTTCATTGCGAAACGAGCAGGCGACGAATACATTGAATAATAACGATCAAATAAATCAAATTACGCATAAATCGGAGTAAATTTTTTTGGGGGGGGGGGTGGTTTGTGAAATCGGGTGAAAATTAATATTCGATCAAGAGAACTGGAGATTTGTTTAAGTATCGGGTGACACCCAACAGGATTGGGGAGTTGGCAGGTCTGCACTTGAGAAGAAATTTAAATACTTTACTACGATGACGGTAATGATGAAGATGATGATGACAATGACAATGATGACAATCATCAGATATCCTACAGAAATATGTTTAACTAGGGTCATCTGAAACCTTATACAGAGTGTCAGTTTACACTGGGTGCAATCCAAGCCTATTCTGATTTTTGCACCAGCCATTATTGGAGCCTGAGGTAAAATTGGTAAGGCCTAGGCTAAAGCTTGGTTTCCATAATCAGTCGCTACAGCGTTTTCACTGCAATCTTTGCACTGCGTATCTGTCCCTAACGCAATCAGAAACGCTCCGATTGAACTGACCAAAAAAGGTCACTTGTACTTTGTAGCCTTTGAGCTGTCATGGTTGTTTTAACAGATATTTTACTTATTGGTATGTGGTACATTTTTTAACACTAGACTGTAAACAAATCTTTCCTACCTGTTTGAGAATCAAAATGTTGAGTGAAACCACCTGTGCATTTAATTTCTTGACTACTTATAGTACCTAAAGGAAAAAAGGAAAAGAAGCAAGAAAATTACATTGATTGATTGATTGATTGATTAAATTGATTGATTGATTGATGGATTGAAAACAATTTATAAATACTGACAGGATCAAAATTGCAGAAAGCATGACCCTAAAAGGAAAAGCCTAAAAAAGTAAAACTTATTTCCACTGGGGTCCTTGCAAACACAGAAATACATTACAATATAAAAATAATAGTATTACTGTATTTTAATTAAAATTGAATGGCATATTATATTAAGCTTGGTTTAAAACATCTCCAATAACAACCCTTAGTATTTAAAGTATCACATTATTTGGATATTGTATTTTCCGCTACATTCTACAATAAGTTAGAAGGGTGACACTCTATGTCAAAAACACCGTACCTTGTGTAAATATCAACATGCTTGACTGCAGTTGCTTTCCAGCGGAATTGTTACAATCATAATGGCGATAATATGAACAGCAATCAATCTTGACTTGGTATTGAACATCAATAGATAAATCCTCTAGAGTTTTTGTATCATTCGGCAACACATTTTCGTAAATTGCAGAGCTTGTAATGTTATTAACAATCAGAGAACATGTGTGATTAGTGCTGGCCGTAGATACCCATTGTAATTTTGTTTCATTTTTAACATCACCAGCAACGAGGCAAATATGCACTCCAAAATCCTTCTGATCTATTAATAAAAAGTTATAACATTATGTTACTGAAAAATAACGATGGTAATGACTTTTGTACTGTACGGTGCATGTATCCATCTCAGTGAGCAGCTCACGGCCCCATTTCCACTTGTATGAAGCAGTCCTGAACTGCATTTTCCTATATTTTATTTTTTTAGTTATTTACAGTATTTTCGTTTTTTAGTAATATATAATAATAATAATAATAATAATAATAATAATAATAATATAGAGATTTTTACTGCGCCTTTTGCCAAGGGATACAAGGTACTGGCGATGTTGTTATTATTAATTACACCTGGTCATCGGATCCATAATCAAACCAGCACAAAGTGCAACCTAGTCGTGCGTGCAATTAAATGCCGAACAGACTTACTTGCAATGCCACATCATCCTACCAGGTACCCATTTATACTCTTGGGTGGAGAGAGGCAAATGTATGTAAAGTGCCTGGCTTAAGGACAAAAAGCAATGCGATGAGCACCGGTCTCAAACTCCTGATCTCACAATGAGAAGTACAACACCTTATACGCTGATATTATTATCAACTTAATTAGTGAGGAAAAAAAGTGCAAAATCTCCCAGGGGTCATCCATCCATCACCACTCCTGAACCTCTACCTAGGCGACTCAAACCAATGAACGGAAAACACATTTGCCCTGCCACAGAAAGGAACGGGTGCTCAGAGAGGAGGCAATCGGGACAGTATACTGAATTTTAGTTCTAGGCCTAGAGTACTACCTAAACGCACCCTAGTTAAGCCTAGCTATCAAGGACTTTGTCTTTGTCCAGGTCCCTAGTCCAGACAGCAAAGGAAGAGCATGCCATGGCGATGGGCATGAGCCAGTCTGTCATTATGTCATGTCATGTTGATGCTGCATGCATTGTTCGTGCATTCGTCGTGCGTGGTCTCACTTCGACTAATAACTAGCTAGGCCTACCTACCCTAGCTAGCTGAGCCTACATTTTGACAAAAATCGTGTACTTTGAACTTACCTTCAGGTTTGCAAACTGATATATAATATTCTATTGCCCCTAATATCAAGAATACACGTGATGTATACATAATTCAAACATCTACATTGAACTTCTCGTCTAGCGAAGCCAATTAAAAACCATTCAATTCCACTTGTTTTTACCTCTCTCTTTTTCGATTCGCGCTGACCTTGTTTTGCATCTCATTACCATTTGAACTTTAAATTATGATGACCTGGTTAATCAGGTCGTTGAACGCGTTAGCTCTGCAATTTTTGCAAGCTAGGATAGCTAGAGAGTTTGAAGGAGTGTAAGTAAGAGTGTTTGTGTTGTGTAGTGTAAGTTCAATACATACGATCTTTCTTTATGCATACAGATAGGCTAGGTCTAAGTTATGTAATAATTGTAGATAGGCCTAGTTTTTGTAATTGATTGGCTGGCGGCGATCATTCAAACGCTTGCCCAACAAGCTAGGCTAGCCAAGCCCTAGCTTCGTCTCCGATTGATGCCTTTGCTCTATTATTACCAACTATAATAATACTACTACTAAAATACTAGGCCTAGCTACGTCATAGTATCTAGGCTGTTCACGTATGACGATCCGGCTTATCGACGATGTCCTTGAACTTATATGTATAGGTAAAATCCGGGTAACCTGTTTAGTAATAATACGAAGAATGCAATGCAGGAAAATTATTTATGAATGGATGAAACTCAAGCATTCAATGATGATATGTTTTGTTGTTAGATTCAAATCAAATTAACATTTATTTATTCACTTGCTTTTTCACTTTTAAAGTACCATGGGTAGGCCTAGGCCTATTTAATTATGTAAAGTATTATTACTGTATAAGTACAAAAGGCAAAAGGCAAAACAAAGATCTGAGAAGATAAGAAAACTAAATCTTGCATTGGGACAGCCTGAAAAGGAAGAGGGAAAAGGAGATTTAAAAAATGACAGAAACAAAAGAGGACAAACGAGACACAGAACAAAAAAAAAAAAGCAAATCAAATCAAATACAGAACCGAGACAGGCAGTAAAATAGAATTTGGTGAGAGGTTAGATAAAACATTAGTATGTAATTTTAGTGTTTATTTTTTTGATTTATTTATTTAAAAAAACCATATTTTGAGTGGGCGACCCTTACAGAATAAATCTGATGTTCAGATGCCCACTTAAATACAAAAATATAAAAAAGTATGTAAAAATATAGCCAATCTATCAATTTAGTCATAAAATTTAAAACAGCAAACATTAAAATACTAAAACAATAAGATAAGAGAAAGAATGCAAAATAAAGAAAACAGACAAAGTAAAAACAAACACACAAACACACACACTAACACATACACAAACACTCGAACCCATACAGTAAAAAAACCTAAGAAAAAGGGGAATATAAATCCTTGTTTAAAATGTGTTGCTTGATGTGCTTTTTAAAGGTGTTGTATACAGGTATGGTGGTGATGGTAAGTGGGAGGGTATTCCAGAATGAAGGAGTTAGAGTAACTGAAAGATGATTTGAATGAATGGAGTTTGGGATGAGGAATATTGAGATTACCAGCGGCAATACTAAAGAGGTTAGTTTTGCCCATAGTAAAGCAGTCCAGGCTACTTGCGCACTTAATCCTTTTCATGCTGATGTGCACATAAAGCAGTAACAAATGTTTTCCATTGTCCTCTAGCCATGATATTTCAGTCCATGCTAATAAACAATTTAGTCTATATCTTGCTGAATATCATATTTTAATCTCCTACCTATTCTAGATAGTCAGTTTAAACAGTCACAATCTATTTTCAGCATCAAGAAAAATAAGTTCTCAGAATGGGGTCAATTATGGGAAAAGTGATGGAAGAGAACTTAAAGAAGAGTCAAACCTTTATGCTTGAAACACAGAAAATGCAGGTAAGGAATACCTGCTGTGTGTGGTTCACTCAATAACAACAGTTTCTATCCATTATAAATTAGCAGTTAATATATCTGATTAGTAGACAGCAAATTATTGGCCCAATAAAAAATTGTTTTGTACACTACAAAACAAAGTATAACATACTCTAGTATTTGCATGTTTTTATTATTTTATTATCAATTGTCTCACAAAGTAAGTGCTGATGGTTATGACCATGTGTATGTGCAGCAAAGTAAAATTAATATGTTACGAAAGCTGATTTAACCAGATCTCCCAGAAGGAACTGCTTCCAACACAAATGTATACATACAGAAATATTAACCATGCAATATTTTTTTATTAATAATAATATCATTTGTTGTGAAGATGGAACGACAACTACAGATGCAGAACATGATGCGAGAACGGCAAATGGCAATGCAAGTTGCCGGTTCAAGAGAGATGTTCAACTGGCTTGCAAGCTTCTATGGCCTCGCCATGTTAGCAATGACTGCTGGGTAAGTGAAAAGCCTTTGTACCAAGTTATTGGTGATAGTTCTTTTCTTTACATAGCCCCTCAAATTTTGGATGGTTGTACTGGATTTATTTGGTGTAAACACCAAGGATAGCCCACGAAAGTGTAGAAGAATATTTATTTCCAATGGGGTCCTTCTGGTGGTGATTGAGTACACTGGGAGACAATCCAATACTCTTTTCAGAAGAGTGTACTGCATTCTTTCACATGCACATGGGCCATAAGTGTACATGGGACCAATGGCTTAAACGTCTCATCCGAAAGACGGTGCGCTAACTGTCACTTGTATTTCAGCCCTCCAGCTGAAACACAAGGATAGGCTACCGGGGACCTAGAGATCTCCACGGTCCAGCGCACACACAGTGGCTACCACCAGATTAGCCGACAGAGCTAAGCTGCTGTCACGCTAACGCTTCCTATTTTAGCGAGACTGGTCGCCATATAACGAACATTTAAAAACAGACACAAAAAAATTTTTAAGGCACTTATAAATAGTTCCCACAAATGTAAAGATGTTTGCAAAAATGGTTGTTTCAAAGTACTGTAATACGTTCTGCTAATAACTGTTTATCAATGTAAAATCAAAGAAGCATTGTATATGAAATGGGAGAAGCCCTCCCTTCCAAGACAGTTTAACTCTTTCATTTTGACTCATTTATTTAGTTTATTTATTTATTTGTTTATTTATTTTCATTTATTTTCATTTATTTTATTATTATTATTATTTTATTATTATTATTTGCTCATTTTTGTTCATGGTTCAATTCCTTAAATTTGAGTGCTCTGCTCCCCATATGCTGGAAAACATTGTTACACTGAAGATGGCACTGCACTGCTGAAACATGTTTGGATCAAAAGATTTTTTTAATAAAATAAAACCTGACAGGCCTAACCTACTGTCTCATTGAAATCTGCATGTCTACTGACTACATTGTCCATTTTCATTTTTAAGTAGTTGGCATTCACCTTCATGTAAATTATCAAAATGGTTATCTACTTTGTTCATTGTCAATGTTTTATTTAATTGTTACATCAATGCATTATAACTAAAGCAAATCATGGTTTGAAAAATTTGTTTATAGGTGGACGTTTTGAGGATGTTCAGCACTCTGAACATGTTGAAGATTGGAATAATAATAATAATAATACTGTTACAATAGGCCTTTTTCACGCTGCAGTAGGCATCTTCGATCGATGACAAACAATGCTGAGCAGCGAAGCGTAACCAATAGAAATAACATAGCGTTACAGTTTGGACCATATTTTCGGAGGTCATGTTACTTAAAAAATCATAAATCCTTAACGGAGGGTTGTGTCAACATAAATTTTTCATTAAAATGTTCGAAAAGTATTTATCTACGTACTGTATGAATAAAAAAAAATTGAAAATTTGTTTAGTCTGTCAAAACATAACTGGAAAACTGTTTGTCATCGATCGAAGATGTCTACCGCAGCGTGAAAAAGGCCTATTGTGGGAGTAAAGCATTCTTATTGTATTGGTTGCACAGCAGTAAACGATGAAGATTTATGCAGAGCACTGTAACACACAAAAATAAATACATTGCACATTGTACATTGGTATAGTATTCTATTCTACCAGCCTTCTATTTTGGTGAGAGAACCAACGTGTGGATAAAGTTAAGATTACAAAAATACGGAAAAAAATTTAGGGTGCCATTATGAATTACTCAACGATTGCAGCTTTATTGTTAACTATAAATGTTTTATTTTATGCCTACATTGCTTAATCATTTTCTTCTTTCTTTTTCTGTAGTTTTGCAAAATCTAAAAATCCATCTGTTTTGGTACCATCTCTCCCTTTAACTTTTATTGTTGGTTATCAGTATGATTGGGCATGGGGAACCAAAGTACACCGTATTAGAGGTAAGCTCTCTCTATTTCTACATGTTTTATGTATATATCTATAAGTATATGGGTCACATATATTTTTTATGAAGGGTATATTTTATAAAGATAATAAGATCACCACAATAGGTATGTGTCCCCTTAATTTGTATCCACTGAATAGGTCACATCACCTTAATAGGGCTTCCTGGCTAAGAAAAGTATCTCCTTAATAAAAGTGTCTAAAATGAGTGTTCTACTGTAGTGGTGTAATTGTAATATTGTTCTGCACTAAATACCTTTTGATAGACTTAGTAGCAAATCATTGGATTTATTTAATAGCGGCATAAATGGTACTTTCTTTCATGTCAGAGGATGCCGAAAAACTCCTTGTGGAAGAACATGGAATCGTTGCAATGCCCAGCGGTGTACCAACATTCAAAGAAATTGATGCAGCCCGAAACGCAGCCAAAAAATAGGTTACAATAATTTACAATAATTATATATTTTAGGTTGTAATTAAGATGCGAGAAAATTTAGTGCGTGATATTCATTCCTGTTTCCATCATAATCGTGTTGTTCACTTCAAAGCGTCACCTAGATTATATATACTTTTGGTTCAGAAATTATAAAAATGTTATGGTAATAATAAACCACAATGTAATTTTTGAAGATATTGTGGCTTCTTATTGCAATACTTATTTTTATGTAAAGTAATTGGTGTTAGGTTAGTAATTCTTGTCATTCTAACATAATACAGTAATGCATACATATTCATATTACCTTGGGTCTGTTAAAGAATTTCTTATAATCCTTTTCATTTGTGACATGTTTTTTTTTAAATGTACTATTTTGAGCAATCAAAATCAATTGTGTATTAAAATTAATGCTTTCAATTGAAAATTTAAGAGTATTTGTCTTGTAGATAAAAAAAAAAAGTTGATTGTTTCAGATGTGAAAACTTACATAAGTTAGTAGAGTGGTCATTGTGAACAAGCTGTAGTCAAAGGGTTGAAGTAAGTTCTTCCTTCAGATTATCTCTAATCTATATCTGAATATATATCATTTAAAAATAATACAAAACAATGAACTACCTCATTGATGATCTTTTGATTTATGTATGCTAGGTATGCATAATGCATTCAAGAAAGGGTTGTGACAATTAAGACTTACAAAACCTAAAACAAAAATGTCATCTGTTTTGAGATGATTAGTATTCTAAAGTCTGTACGTGTTTCATATGCACCATACAGGGAGAGGAAAATGCAGTGCCTTTCCTTTTCCCCCAGCCACAGCCAAAAACTCCCTAATCGAAGTGTGAAATCATTTATATAAGAGATTAAAATGTCTAAAAACACCTAAATTTATAGGGAACAATATCCCTGGATCCCCAAATGGGTATTGGAAACTCCAGAAGCACCTTCTTTTAGATCATAGGTCCCACTATGCTTGGACCTTGATTGATACTAGCACCCCCAAAGAAAATAAATTACGGATCTGCCATCAGTACTTTCATGTTACAATATTTAAATCATCATCCAGCATTACTTTCTTCAATAAATTTATGCAATCCTTCTCTAATGACTTTATTTCCAGTCCTGCTGTTGTGTTTTATTGTACCCAATCAATTTTACTTGCACTTAAAGGTCCTCTTTCTGTCTAGTTGATTAACATTCTTCTCCATACCCACATTTAAGAGGCATATACCATAAATTTCTGATTGAAACCCAGTACCATCTGTTGACTGTCGGTGGCATTCTGGGTTGTCATTAAAAACGATACATTGCGCAGCATTCTTAGTGAGTGCTTGACGTATATATATACAGGTACCAAAGAAACAGTGGTCTAGGGTTTTAATCAAAATATTTATAGGACTACAGTACACTACTTCATACCAACTGTTATTTTAATAATTCTCTGTTGAATTTATTCTTAACAATTTAACATAGGTTTTGATAATTAACTCTCTACACCATTTATCTATTACTTGGATATGTTTTTATCTTCAACATTTAATCTGGTATTTGATACACATTGAGACATTTAGATTTTTATCATAAGAAAAAATATTGCAAATAAAATATTTTGAAAGTCTATCTCATTTGACTTGAATTTATATGAATGTCATGTGAAAATTATGTCTCATTGTAAAATTTAAGATTCCTTTTTAATCTTAATTTTACATTGTTACTGATATTCAGGCCTCAATGAGTAATACAAATATATTTTAAGAATTATATAAATATTAGTCTGTTACCAACCCAGATATTACATCAAAGTCCATTATGGTTGGACAAATGCTGTGGTGTTGGGGGAGTGTGGAATCATGAAAAAACACTCAAATTGAAAATATGCTGAGCCAAAAATTTTAATTCTTAAAATCACTTAAATTTCCTTAGCCAGCACCCTTTTCCCAGGTTAACACTTGAAATGCACCACTGATTGTGCATAAATATACTGATGACGTAATTTAAGGTTCAGTTTAACATGCATATCGGAACGATTTATGTTGTGCATTTAGAGATAATTTTTATGAGCATTGCTGGTCTTGTGACAAGTTGTCTGATAATTTCCACACATTCAAAGGTCACACCCAGAACTGCGTCTGGCGGAGTACAGGCACAAATGCACCATTTGCATAACTGACACGTCTGCTTTTATACGAAGGATCAAAACTATCCCAGACAAACGAACTATCCGTCTCTGTATGCATGGTAACATTCATGTTAGAGTCTGATGATACAACCATATGTTTACCGACTCCAGCACTGGCCCCGAAGTCTATGTCTGTAATTTGAGTATTAGTGCCACTCTGCGTTGATGATGCTGTTGATTTACTGTTCACGGGTGTGTTCATCGGAACTATCAGACCAGATGGTGAAGTCGCTTGCTGAAAAAAAAAATTAGATGAAAATTTGGAGCTCATTTCAATGGTATTATAAACACTTAAATTATTATTTTTATTCTCGTTCTCGGTTGACCGTATAATTTAATCTGTATTCAAGTACATAGGGGCCATGTGCAGTCAATGCGCTATATAAATATAACATTATTAATATCATAATAAACATATATGATGGTGCTAAGTGAGCATGACTATGTCAAAAGTCAAGGAATATTGTATTGTATGAGACAGATGTATAAATTCAATGTGTGTAACAAAATTTTAGAACTTTTTTATAATTCTGTGATTTGTGGTGTTTGGGTCTACTGCCTCGTTTGCTGGGGTGGCAACGTCACTCAGAGAGATAGGAACAGGATTGATCGTCTGATCAGGAGAGCAGGAACAATGATTGGTGTGGATCAACAGTCGGTGGAGTCAGTTTATATGAAACAGCTGAAGACGGTGTTTGATGGAGTTTCTAGAGATGCATGTCATCCACTCCATCAATATGTCGTCTTTCAGCGAAGTGGTAGGCTGAGGCCTCCGATTGTCCACACCAATCGTTATTCCTGTTCATTTATTCCTGCTGGGATTAAACTTTTTAATGCACATTTTAAACGTTAATTTTATGAATATTTTTTTTTTTATGTGATTGTACATTGTTTTTAAAAGTTTTATGCGAGCATTCAGTTTCCTTCGTTGAAGGATGAATGAAGTTTTACTTTGACTTTGACTTTTTAATGCAAAACAGTGGTGGATTCAAGGAGAAAAAAGAAAAGTAGGCTGATATTCAAATTTAATTCTGAGAGTGCATTTTCCTGCCATCTAGTAGAGGAACCATAATCATAATGTTTTCCTTACCTCAGCCCCAACCATGGTAGATCTGAGGTGGGAGGACACCAGGGGTTTAGCCAGAAAAACGAAATAGGCCTTCCAAAATGGAAGCCAGTGAGCGTGGCACGGAGCATGCCCATCTTTGGGAATCCCCACCAAATATTGGTAAGAAAAAACAACATACATTCAATCAATAAATGTTTTTATCAAATGTAAATATGATTTAACTTTAGTTTAATGTAACATTTGATTGATTTGAAGATTATAAAGAATTTGCTAAAGGTAGACCAGGCCCAATTAGGCAAGGCCAAGCCGATTAGGACAAGCCATCCAAGCCGTCACGGTAAAAGTGGCCAGATGGCTCGCAGGCTAAGCCTAATAATGGTGGACACCATATCTGTGAATGTCTACCCTAATCCCTCTATTTTGAATCCCTGGGTCCACCACTGCAAACAATATTTTATATAAAGAAATTCTAAAACAACTTTTCCTATAATCTGCATTATTTATATCATGTTATGGCTTTCATCATTTTACGGTATAGAATAGTAGCCGTTTACTATAAATATGATTAAGAAACGCAGACAATACATGTGAGATATGATTTGTTTTTTATATAACTTGATGTTACATTTATGTGCAATTTGTATCAAGAAGAGGGCTTATCGTAATCACCTAGGGCTCGGAATGTTTACATTTTAACAGGCACAGATGGGTGAAACAAAACAACACAAATCCCTACACTTTAGTACATTTATATATTTCTGAACAGTATTTTTAATCAGACCAAATATGGTGTGAAAAAAAGTTTAGAAGCAGAACAACAAGGGGTAAAGTAAATGGGTATATGATTTTAGAATTGAGATGAATCAATATCACTCAGTCAAATCAAAGAAATTTTTTTTTCTTTAAAAAATTCATACAAAGAAAAAAATATCTCAAGAGATGCATGATAAAGAAGAATGTGCCTCAAAAGAGGACACGTAAAGAGCTAGCAGAAAAGAAAAAGTAAAAAAAAAAAAAGTAGAAAAGAAAAGTAGAAAAGAATAGTAAAAAGTATTGATGAAATGATGAGGAGAATTTGATAATAATGGGAAAGATTCAGTGACTTGAGAGTGAGCATGATTTGATGATGCTTGGAGGATGATAATTTTATGTTTTGGTCTGGTGTGATGGTGGTGGTGATGATGAATAAAGACTTTTTTTGTGATGATGCCGTCAATTTCATGACGTTATGATGATGTTGATTTGGTGATGACACTATCAGAAATACAAACCATTACCAAGATTTAAAATTGATTTGATGGTTATCTTTTTATGATTTGGTTATAATTTGATGAGTTGGTAATTTGACAATGATGATTACGATAGAAATAATGTGCCTACATTTTAAAGATATTTATATTTCTAGATTATAGTAATATTTCACATTGTTTATATAATTTCAATGTATGAGCAATTTTAATGTGCAAAATTCCATATTAGTCTTACCGTATACTTCTATTTACTTACCCCTATCGTAGTAAGTGTAGTTGCAAAAGGCGGTGTGTCACGTTGATCTATTGAGCTCGCTATTTCATCAAAATATTGGACACCACTTACAGGGGATAATGAGTCAGTAAGGTGTTCTCCAGCTAGATTAAATACCGGAAAATTTGACTGGGGCATTCGCCTAACGGTACTGCATCTAGGCGGTGGAAACGATTTCGCCCGATTGCGGGGTTTAGGTTTAACTTTAACATGATTCTGATGTTGTTGCTTACGCTTAAATCCCCAATAATTGTTCACAACCTCAACTTTCGTTGTGTCCACTTTCCCGATCTTTGAACCATGAGACTTCATGGCGGAAATTCCGAATTCAGTCCCATCTGAAAGATCCTTTCGCTTCAAAGGAGAGTGTTTAAACTCTAGGCCATCGTGATTTTGTGAAGACTGGGCAGGTTCAATAACATGAAGTTCCAGTAAGCCCGTAGACTCATTCGACCCGTGCGATGAATTCGACGTCCGGTAAATACCATCCATCGGTAGATTTCTTGAGGTACTTCTTGAAAAATGTGTATGTTTCCGCCTGAAGAATTTACAATATATAACTGAAACATTTATAGGAAGTAATAAGAGTAATATAATCGCTAAAACAATGAAGGGAATAATAAGGCCATTTTGTTGAACATCAGGCGCTAGTTCTCCCTCCGTTTCGTTTCTATTCATAATCACCTTCACATTGTAAATGACGATTGCGGACCTAACATTTTGGAAGAAACCTAATTTGCATAACACCTGTAAAATGTCAGGTTAACGAATAAAGTTTGTTTATAGGCTCTATTTATAAGATGATTATTAACTTGTTATGATACGGTCTGAGGAAATACTAAAACCGCTATTATTCATAGTAGGCCTAACTGGCTTAATAATGTTTTATTCTTCTTTAAACGATTCTGTAGATTTGATTGTCCTTTCATAAAGTGTTTTTTTTTTTCAAGACTGATTCAGTTTGCTTTTAAAGCAATCTCCAGGCCCTGTTACTGTATTTCGATATTACACCTAGACCTATTTAAAAGTTACTGTTTGTTATTTTTGCCGGCAAGTATTAATGAAATATAAAGTATATAGGCCTAAATATTATTTGTCTATTTCTTGTGTTTACAGAGATTACTTAGGGTGTTTAGGGTTTTTTTCATCGTCGTTTATTTGTGTTTTAAACAAATTTCAGTTGACTGTTTTCTATCCTTCTTTTGAAAGTTGTTTTTGCACATTTATTTTTTAATAATATTTTTATTATGATTATCTGGTAGGAGTAATTTACTAACGATAATTCTTTGCGCGCATTTCTTGTTATACGGTAGTCCAATTTCCTCTATAAATTGCACATTTTAGGGAGTTTTCATCAATTCGACGAAATTAGAATTAAAAACACAAAAATATTTTGCGCTTGGCGCGCATTTTTTAGGGATTTTTTAGTTTTATCCTTTTAAGTTACTTAAACACATAATAGTCCCAAACTCAAGAAAGACAAATTTAAGATACATCATTTTAACCTAAAAGAAGGACCTCAATGTGTATAGATGGTGAAAGAATATGTTTGTAATAAATAAAACCATAATGAAAATGATTATATTTAGTTTCAAACATACGTGTGTGGCCTATATTATAAGCCCTATGTCATATTGTTTTCTATATGGTGAGTGGGGTGGGGTGGGTATGGTAAATTACTAACAGGGAAATGAGAATTGTTTGTTGTTGTTGTTGTTGTTGTTGTTGTTGTGGTTGTGGTGGTTGTTGTGGCTGTTGTGGTTGTTGTTGTGGTTGTTGTTGTGGTGGTTGTTGTTGTGGTTGTTGTTGTTGTGGTTGTTGTTGTTGTTGTTATTGTTATTGTTATTGTTGTTATTATTATTATTATTATTATTATTATTATTATTATTATTATTATTATTATTATTATGTTGTAATGATGTTGTTTGTACTGTTCTTTAATTTCATCAAAGAGGGCCCCTGAATATCAGTTAACCTACTGGGCTAAACTAGAAGGGTTAACCTCTTTAATGATGGTTGAAATAAAAATAAATAAATAAATAAATACCCACTCTGACCCAAGACCCCTGTTTCGCGCCTGGTGTTAGTGCCAATGTGTGCCCTTGTGCGGACAGGGAATGTGCCCCCCCCCCCTTTGAATCTGGAAACCTTGTTTTTGCAAAATAAATTGATGCAATTTGCTATTATAGGCCTAATCAATAAATTCCTCATCAACCGATATAACCTTAAACATTCTTGGAATTGACATAACATTACTGATGTTGTACACACCCTTCAGTGTGAAATGTGGCTTTTGCAAGCACATCTAACATCTAAGGAAAGAAGCGCTTAGATTGGTACCAGATAAAATAATTTTGTTATCAACATTAATACATTAAGCTAATTTTCATCTTTGTAAGCGCATAAGGCAGTGCAAATTATTTCTGTGACAGTCTTTTAAAGTGTGTAAAGCTACATTTTATCCCATACGTAGTCAAAATATTTGGGGGGGGGGATGATACAATGGACCATCCCCCCCCCCTTGTCAAATATTGGGGGGATATATCCCTCCCATCCCCCCGGGATCTATGCCTATGGCTGATCTAATGCAACTTCTGGAAACTTTTAACCGTGTTAAAAAAGTAGGCCTATTTTATAATCATTGTGACTGTCCCCATTCGGGTGTGAATAATAGGATCAGTTGAATTGGTAGGGTACCAGACCTAAATATCTCTAAAAAGTTATCAGTGGATCTAAATGTAACTTTCCAATATAGTTTTTTTATGGACAATAAAGAATTTTGTTGGACACTTGATTAAACTTTATAAACGCAATTCGCGTTTTCTAAAGCGTTTAAATTAACTGCAGCTAGGATTTAAATTACTGTGATATGCATGAATTCGATGTTTTCGAGTTCTCATTTTTTATTTTTGCTTTAATTTTCTTTAATGGTATTTATTATTTTTGTTTTTTACTTTGTACTTTATAATGACGTTTTTTGTTTCAATTTCAACATCACTTCTTATTATGGCAATGGCAATGAGAAAAAGCCCTGCATTCTGTTGTACAAACCTACATAAGCCTATTATTATTATTATTATTATTATTATTATTATTATTATTATTATTATTATTATTATTATTATTATTATTATTATTATTATTATTATTATTATTATTATTATTATTATTAATTAATTATTAAGAAGACACAACAATAATTGTTATTATTATTATTATTATTATTATCATTATTATTATTAATTATTATTATTATTATTATTATTATTATTATTCATTCTGGGCCTATTAGTCACTGTGTTACACATCTTAATACAGCAGTTTACTCCGACTTGCATGCCATTGGTTCGTGCTAATAAATTGATAACGATAATTATTATCATTTGATGCAGAGGCAATAGATAAGAAGAATGCAAGATATGATTAACGATTAACGAAAAAAAATACTACTATTCGATGGGTCGCCTAATAATACAAGTGTATAATGGGCAAAGTTCAATATTAATAAGCACTTTCACATCGATTGATGTCTAAGCACGTTGTAGGCCTATTATAGATGGTTTACAGAAATCTACAGTTACTTCGAAAACTGGGGCTTCTGGTGACGGATGCAGATTTAGCGATTTGTACAAATTTAATTTTCTGTGGTTTTCATACTAACAATAATCTTTAATTTTAGAGGAGTATATGATAGATATTTTGAGGAGGACAAGTAAGAGCAGCAGCAGTTAAGATGACATTTTATATAGGCCTAAAAAGATTTATATTTTTTACTATTTTCTTACCACTGTCAGTAAAAGGTAAGCAGTCTACATTCACTGAATATTATGATATTTTAATAATGATGGTTATTACTAGATAGTATCATTATTATTAATATAGATTAATATGAAACTAATCATTTAGATTGAAATGTTAGTAGGGCATGAATTAACAAAATGCATGCAAGGTATTGGCCGATATGTTGAATAACGAGTGTGCAATGTTATTATCTTAGATTGCATAATTATATAGCAGAGCTACATCAATTACCAATTTCATAACATTAAGTAGCTGATTCTCAAAGTTCGTTTCATCAATCAAGCGTGTTTATCGTTGCTACCTAGTAACGAAAGTTTATTTATTATGTTGATTTGGTGATTCTTCTTTACAATTTATGATAAACAGTATATACAATATATATATATAAATATACTGTCTCTTATACACATCTAGATGTGTATAAGAGACAGGTACAACTGCATAAAATGTTCTTCGAACAAAATTATTTATGCGAGTCAAATGAAAATAATGAATAATAAAAATATAACAAATAATATG